ATGAGTATTATTAGTTATTACACATTTTAATTTGTTAGGACAATCATAAAAAAAATCAAAGTTGGAAATATTATTACAAGACATTAACATACGGTCTAATGGGCTATATTTAATGAAATTATTTTTCCCTAGAATAGTAAAAAAATAATTGTTGAGATCGGGTATTATAAGCTGGTATTTTAAAACAAATTTGTTCCAGTAGCTCTGGGCAGATAATTTTATTATTTAATAGTTTGTATATAAATTTTTTTGATTATTTTGCCTCCTTAAAAATAAGAAAAGCTGGTTTGAATTTTGAACTAGCTTAAATTGTCATTTTTAGCTAATGTTCATGTAATTCACGGTGGCTGCATTGAAGATTATACAATTTTATACGCTTGGCGTACGAAGCTCGAACTCCATTGAAATAACTTTTTTTGCATTTTTTTCTTAATTATTTTTTGAGGTGGAAAAATAATTTAAAGTTCGTGTGATTTTTATCTCATTTAGATTGAATAACTTCAATAAATACCAAGGACCCCATCACTGTAGTCTCCCCTTGTGAGAATAAATTTCTTATTCATATTAAAATATTTTACTATATGGTTTATTTTTGTATCTGTCATTCATTTTTCTTTGCTCTCACTTGACAAATACGTCAAATGAACATAGTTATAAGCTTTTTGAACTTATAATCACAAAATATTGTAAAAATTCTTTATTTTTAGAAATTCAGACAAATATCTCAAAATTACTCTATTGTAAAAAATGGCCACATCGAAAAAACTGTTTTTTAATTAAAAATCTCCAAATTAATAGGAGTATAAAATTAGTTTTTATACTAAACTAAATTACACAGTAAAATAAAATATTATTTAATGATTATAGACCAATATATATTTTACATAAACCAAATTTTTTCGCTGATTTCAAGTTTGAAATTAGATTTTTTCTATCGCCTCTTTTTGAGATTATTAATAATTAGAAAACATGTAAAAAAATTAATTAAAAGCAAATTTTTTTGAAATTTAAGAAAATTCAAACTTCAATTATTGTGCACGACACTATTTTACTTTAAAAATATAAGCGTTTTAGAAATATTTAGAATACAACCAAGAGCTAGTAAATAATATTAGTATTATTAAATTTATGTAAAACAGTTTTTATTTTTGCGTTGATTGGTGAAAACAGCAATGCAAAACTTTAAAAAATTGAAGATGATAAAAGCGGAAGCGTAGAAATGTCGATTAGTTATTCCGGAACTAATTTCAGAACGGAACAAATAAATTCTTATTACATTCCAAAATTGTATGATATTTCATCCATTTATTGTGCTAAATAAACATACCGCGTATGAAATCATTTAACAAGTATAATAATTGAAGTGCAAAATAATTTATCGTTCCCAGAATAAAAACATAATGGTGCCGCAAATAACATATATCACGTTATCAAATTATACTAAATCATATCTGCAAATGAATAATTCATCACAAAATTTAATGTTAACAATAATTTTTTAGTAAAATTTTATCGTAAAAAAATGAGTTATTTCATATCACTAAGCTCAATTTATTGCATATTATATTGTAATATAATTAATGTTTGTCTAATTTTCGAAAGTTTTGCTAAAACATAAAAGAAACGGTACATTTTATGTTTTAGAATTTTTTGATTTTTAATCAATAATAAGGATTATCATTATTTTTACTAGAAATTAGTTTGTAATAATATATATTGCACAAATGTTATAATTTTGTGTTTTAACTCAAAATTATAAATATGTTTGAGTTTATGAGTAAATCGTTGATATGAGGTTTAGTTGAAATAAAAGTAAAGTTTATTTGGAAGGTGGCAAAAGGATTAAGTAGAAGATTTCACCACGTAAAAAATAAAATAATCATAAAAAACCAACGCAATACCTCTGTGATGATAATATCGACGTAGTTTTTGCTATAAACTATTAACGAAAGGAAAGGATAAATAAAAACAAGTCGGTTTTTAATCCTACTATAATATAGTCCGATACAGCACTCAAATTATACTAAAGCTTTAATATGGTGTAGGATCAAGAGCAATCGGTATACAGCTTATGCTTGTAAAAGAATTAGTGTGTAAATTTTTTAAGTATCCTAGTTTCTTTAAATGACAACCTAAAATAAAAAAAAAATGGTTCATTAAAAATATATAATACATTTTTCTGGAAAAAGAAATATTTTTTTCATCAGGCTCAGTGTGTTTTTTTAATGGCTTTGAACATATAAGCCTAAATTTATAAAATGTATAAATATAGTTTAAATGTCTAATGGTAGTTTTTCTCAAATTCCAACGACTAAAAATAATTAAATTATTATATCAATAATTAAATTTCATATATCATAATAATTTAGTAGTATATTTAATTATTTTGAGAAATCATAAAATCAATAGATATCAAATTATTAAATTTAATTGATTACAAAACTAAATATTTCTTTGTTTTTTTCTTGTTGTTATTGAGAATTAATTTTGATGTATTAGTATATACACATGTGATTATATTGCCTTACTATAGCAATCAATACATAGTGTGTGCTATAAAAAAAGTAGGCTCAATAAAATCGATTGATGGGTAACTTTTATGAGTAAATCCAAATTGCTTTTCTGTCATGAACTAACAACATAAACTTGCAAATAAAAATATCATTAGATTTAAAAAATGACTTTAAAGGCTTAAGCTTTATTAAAAAAAGTGAATGCAAGAGAATTAATTGTAATGTACAATGATAAATAATATTTTAATTAAAATTTTATTAAAATATTGAATAATAGAGTAGTTACAAAATTCCCACATTTAAAGGTTTAGAATAAAAATTACTAAATTTTTAGGTTAACTTTTTTTTTCAATGCATAAAAATAATGTTATTTATTACTTCTTAAAAATGGATATGTCGGGTATACAGGACGATTCATTTAAGGATAAAACACTCATTTTCTTAAAAACAATTGAAAATTTTGAAATTTAGTAAAACAAAATATTGTTTGATTCAATAAATTCTAAATATAAATATGTAGTTAAATAATTTTTTTCATCTCTTCATGGATAAAAAACTTTAACATTTAAATTCTTAAATTGGTATCCATATTTTTACCTTAATAATATAATAGGAAAAAATGTGTAAGTTTGTTTTTATAATTTTTTTATCCGATAAATCATTCGTTTTATTATATTGTTTAAAGATTTGTATTCAAAATAGAAATTCATCACTACTTTGATTTTCTTAATATCAAAATCAAAAATAATTTGCTTCGACGGACCATAAATTATTTTTATTTGCACTTATCAAAAAAAATTTTTCACACTGATCGTTCAACAATGTATTAATGTAAACTTATATGGAATATAATAGTATGCGTCTAATAATAATCATCAATAACTTTTGTATACAATACATTAGAATAAAAATAGAAATTTGGTTTAAAACCACTTAACTTTAACACGTTTAAACAGACGTTGATCAGATAAAAAATATGATAAGAACAAGAATGTTAGTAAATTGTATTCTATCATATTATCAAGGTAAAGATAGGGGTTTTCATTTAAAAATATAATGTTAAAGTTTTTTTTATCAAGCCATATTTACCTTTACAAAAATTTTAAATTTTAAAAATAGTTTCCCAGTAATTGAGTATTGTACCCTTAATGAATTACTCTGTATAACTGAATTTAATGTTTTTTTTATTGTTGTAATTTTACTGCTAAAATATTCTTATTCTATCGTATTTTTCTACGATACATTTAATTATAATAATTTTTGAAGTCCCTATGGTTTTTATTATTTAATTAAATTACAATGCATGAAAGTCTTATCTAGTTACTAGGTTGTTTTTTAAAAATTGTCTCATTTTTATGATAATAAAATTTGTAAAATAATCTGTTACAAGACTATGGTAACATTGGAACACTGAAATCTTTGTTATATCAACAACATGTAACAAAAGAACAACATATGTTTAAAACTGATGATATTTATCTTCGTAGAAAAAAAAAAAACTGTAAAAGTTTATCTTTTGTTGTTCAAATAACTGCTGAGAGGTTGTATCACAGCTAAAAAAATGAAATTCGTTGTGACAAAAGAAACATTAATAAACTGCCTTTCACGTTCAAAATAAATACTGAAAAAACAATATAAAGCTCCACCAATGCGTTTAAAATTTTTTGTTATTTTTTGACATTTTCATATAAAAATTATTATATGGTTAAATGAATTGTTATTTATTAAATTCTTCGAAATAATTATAATAGTTTGTCTATAATTTTATGGTGAGAAAATTAGTAGAATTTATTACTAATAATAATACATGCTCACATCACTTATATATATATATAAATAAATTCATTAATAAATCCTATTAAACCTCTAAAGAATATTGAAATAAATAATTGAATTTTAAAACCCATTAAATGATAATTTAAAATCAGTAATTTTGTAAGTAATTGAGTTTTATAATTAAAATAAGTAGTATTTTATTAAAAAAAAATATAATTATTATTTTTACTTTTTAACTAATTTTTCGAATTAGTCTAAGTTATATTTTTATAATACTCATCTCTACAAATATTTAACATGGAAATTGATAATTTCTTAAATTTTTTAAGAATTTCGTTTTATTGTCCAAGGAGATTGCGTGACCAGAATGTCATTATTTTGTCAGTACTAAACACCATGTTACTTGATATAATTCAAATAACTCTCGTCAAAATGGTTCATCAGTAATTTATTAATGATGATGTTGTTCGAATACATTTAAATGATTAATAATGTTAATATCATTAAGTATTAATGAAATACGATTGTTATCGAATGATACAATAATAATGATCAACAATTTTGTTGACAAAATTAATTGATTATTATTTAAACGTATATTTTTGCATTGTTAACATTTACAAATTCATATCGCATGATAAATTGCCTAAAATATTGCCAGTCAACTTTTAAAAGTATTCACGACATTGGACAGTATAAAAATAATCTTACCGGTTAAAAAAACGTTCCCGATGAATAGAAAAACTGCCGCACAGTGCCGGCGAAACATGTCGAGGGTTGCGCGTCTAACCGATACTAACGATATCCGGCGACTGCGCTAACACCCCTGACCAAGTATAACGAATTCGCGGCTTCGGTCACTCAGTAGATTACGTATCCTCCCCTCATGGGCTACTCTGCGTGCCCGTAAACGTGCGTGTTCAATGAACACTGTTTATCTATATTTGTGTTTTTGTGGTCTTTTGTTTATATACGTTAAAACTCACTTTCAGTATTGAGGGATGTACTTTTTTCATAACCTTCGATATTGTCATCAAGGAAACGGTTTTGTATTTATATGGCTTTTGCCGGAGACCAAATGGTCCATTGAAAGTGATTAGCAAACGACGCTTGTTAAAAAATTTAAAAAATAGTTTTGTCGTAAACATACCATTACTTTCTAGGAAAAAGATGAAATTAATTTCAACTATAATATTTCACATAATATAGGTTATAAAAAGAAGGGTAGTTTTGATTTTGATTAAATAGGGCAATCTGTCTTTAATTTATTTTAATAAAAAATTGTCAAACAAATTTTTAGGGCAAGAACGTTGCTTTAATAAAATTCAAAATTTTTTTAGAGTGCTAATTTAGTATAACTAGTATTACTTGTAACAAATATCTTTTAAATTAAAATACAAAAATAAAGTGTAATAATTTTACTAAAAAAAAATAAAACAAAAGGTTGTTATTGTTTATTTGCTGATTAACACTGAACAAACAATCAAATAAACAAAAAAAGTTGATAAACCATTTAATTTCATATCTAATCAATTGGATCTAAAAAAAAAACAACTGAATACTTTCTAAATTTTTAATTTAACATTTTATGAATGATTGTCTTTAATGTGTTCTATTTTAATATAAGTTTTGTTAAAATATAAATATAAATTCCTTATTTATACCCTGTTTACAAGTTTATGATTTATAAGTGTAATATATGAATAAATATATATATAAAGATATAAATATTATTTCTCATAAAAAAATTGTATAGATCCATACACTTTTCAATAAGTTATAGCATTATAAAGTTAAAAATATAAAATCGAGAATTTTCACACAAAAATATCATTCGGTTGCCATTTTCACCGTGAAGACAAAATAAAGTCTGAAATTTTTGTTTTTATAATAAAGTTTATTACATAAGCTTTAATTTAAGATATATATACAAGTGTCAGTATTTCTGGAACACATTCAAAAATTAATTTGAAAAAGTTAATTTTTAGTGAATAAGTTGTCATTTTGAATCCCTACCTGTGGGCATGTAAAGAGTCAGATTTATAAAAAAAAAAATATCAAATAATAGGTAAAGATATCATGCATCTATAAAAAAAAGAATAATATTATATTGATTATATTTAAAATGTTATGTCAGTTTTAGATAAAAAAAATTGAAAAAATTAGCGATTTTTAAATTTGTAATTTTTTTGGAGATTTCCTCCATTTACGGGGAACGAAGGAAATTTTTTCAATTTTTGAGGGTAATGTCTTTGACTAGATACGATTTGTAACCTTTTGACGTATCATTGAAAGAAATTCGGTTGTTTTTTATACAATTTGGCATATATTTATGTATTTTATAAGTAAAAAAAACAGAGTTCACTTATGATTAAAACTTATTTATTTTTTTTATAAATAAAGCGTTAACTAAAATATATGTATACTTGAAAATATTAATAAATTTCGGTTGATTATTAAATGCTTTTGGAGATATATTTTTTTAAATAGTTTATTGATATTAATTTAATTTAATTTATTTATATAATTTTTTGAGTGCTTCCAGTTCAAGTTCTTCAAAATCATTTTTTTTTTTTATATCGGGTCGATCGGTAGTCTAACGGGAGTTTTATTGCAATTTGAAGTTGTAAAACTAGAGACTGGTTTAGAAACAAATAATTCACGTTCCTTGTTTAAAAAATTTGTCCCCAAGGAATTACCGATCAAAATTTTAAGACAGTATCTAATGACTCCAAAAATTATTAAAAAGAAAGCTCTTTATTCTTTTACCAAGTAATATATCGATATAGAAATATGTTATCGTTCAATTAAATCTAAGGATAAGATAAATAAAATAAAGTTTTCTGGTAACCCTAGATTTTATATAATAAAGTTATTGATATTACAGATTTGCTTGAAAAACCTTTTTACGTTGTCGAATATTTGAGAACGTATAAAATCGGATTTTCGGTTGTGTATGTGAGTAGTATCCACTGAGTACACCGTTGGATGTATTATGTTTATGCAGTGTGTGTTTTAAAGTACTACTTTATTATGCAAGTACTATAAACAATATTTATGTTTATTTATCCATAATATTTACTATTAGTGTTTCGGCACAGACTCGAGCTTACTACATATATACCATAAATTTACCTATATAATGTACTTCATCTCTTGTTACAACAGCTTCATAGAATATGCACGATGCGAGTAACAGTGATAAGTGTTGTAGATTAACTTGTAATAATTAGTCCGATAAAATAAACTATGTGTTGTCGTAATTGCTAAATACCTAGTTTAAAAACATCAGATATTGTGCCAGTATTTAGAAAAAGACAAGTTAATATAAAGTGTTTCATAATCAGTGTAGGCAGTAAATAATTATAAAACCAACAAAATTAGATAAAGATACTCGTATTCGAACAATAATTCAGCAAATAAAAATTAATATAAATATTTTATTTAGATAAAATGCAGATAAGACACTGATGGTGGTCATGTTAGTAGTTAATTTTTATAAATAAGTTGTGCTTAAGATATCGAAATAACATGATTAAGTAAAACTTAAAATTTATTTAAATTGATAAGAATTAACTATAAGATATTTAATTAACTAACTAATCTATTAATGTAAAATGTTTATAATAAACGAATATTTACCGGTATGATTTATAAATGATACAATTTTTTATTGTACTGTCATAATCATTTTACGTTATAATTATCTGTAGATAAATGAAAGTATAATTTTATTTTTATTTTAATTTATTTGTATCTATTATATTTATTTTTTATTTAGCTGAAAATAACAGTCCACTTTTTCAACATTGAAACTAGCTTCAGAAACAAAGAAAAACTGGTGTGATTTAAATTAAATTGGATTGAAATGATTTTCGTTATACTATATTCGTATTTCTCAAATGAACCAACTTCAGTTTGAAACATTTTAAAATGTTTTCGACATATTATGTATCACGTCGTTCATCTTATAAAAGTTGTCAAACGTATGAAAGAAAATCGTTTAGTATTTCATATTTTGAAAACCACTACAGAAAATACTTATCATTTTATTTTTTATATAATGTCATAATAGAAATAACTGCCACGTACATTTTGTTAATTTAAATTTTGTTATAACAATGAACACATAATACATAAAATATACAATATAAACACAATGTTTTTGATAAAAAATACATTTCTTTTCTATTATTATAAATAGAGTTAATACTAACAACATTTAAACTTAGGTAACAAAAACCATACGATAATTATTATTTTTTCAGTAAAAATTATTTGATTAAAAACAAATAAATCGCGTTATATAAATAATGAATATGTTTTGTGATGATGAATGATTCGTTGAATGTATACAGAGTAGAATTTTGATGTCAAGAGTGATTTAACATTATAAAAATTAACAGAAACGTTTGAGCTATGAGCGAATGTAATAATATAGACTAGTAATTGTCATCGGTCATACTTAAGTCAATAGACGAAAATGAAAAAAAAATCAGTAACAGTGATATGTGATCAATCACTGACTTAATACGCGAATGTATAGTTTTTGTGGTGGTGGTGGTGGTGGTAGTGCACTGGTCAAGAAATTTCGTTTAAAATCCTTTTGTTTTTTGTATATTTTATTGATCTACCTAGTACCACTTCTTGGTGATAATGGTGTTTAGATGACAGAATATTTTTTCTCGAAAATTCTTTTTGCTTCTCGATTCGTATAGTACGTGTAAATCAATATAGCGAACGTAGATCCCGAGGCTAGTGGCCGGACGAACAAAAGATGCTCGTTTGTATATAACTATAAAAGGTACTTGTGATGTCTGCTTTCTTCTGTATTCGAGAACAATGCGTTTAAATACTTTCAAGAGGTAGCGACGTGCGTATTCATCTCCTCGGTCAGAGGGTGCGTGTCAGAATATAAGGGGAAACACTATATTAAAAGCATATCTAAAGGGGGTTTTGACGTATCCAGCAGCGGAGTGATAAGAAGAAACAAGAACAATAAATGAAAACCTACGAATGTGTTGTAAAAAAATGTATGGGTTTTTTTAATTCTCTTGGTCAAAGATCCAAATTTAGAGAATCCGGAAATATTTATCTTCAATTAAATCTTAGAATAACATCATTAGAGCGCTGTGAATAAATAAGATAATGCGGATTATATGAAGCAAATTATTAGTACGCGGCATTAACGACAGAATAAAGTTTGTAGCATATCCAAGCTAACAATGCATATTTTAAGTACTTAACGATAACGTCTAACACGTACAACCTAAATTAATAAAAATTACATTGATTACATTGATATGTAAGAGTTTTAATTAAAATTGATTTGCTTACACTTTGATGATTTTTCTAGATTTTGGCAAACTGTTTGGGTCTTCTTTTAGACAGTATGTTCGAGCACCTAAAATGCAATCGGTGAAATACTTCTCAATATCCAACTTTTCAAAATGCATGTCGAACAGTTCACGATCAGTAGAGTTCATTGTTTCCCTGAGGGCTAACAATTTGTCGTTTTTGAAATCCCAATTACGCATTGTAAAGTATTGTAACACTCGTAATCCATCAGCTATTTTTTGTTGAACTCTTACCATGCTAAAACATAAAGTCAAATTTAAGATGTGAAAATTTTGACTGGACTATTCCAGTTTTATAATTAACTATATTTAAAGTTAATATCTTGTAAATATTATAAAAATACATACGAAAATATCGTAAATATCTTGTAATTTTTTAATAGTTAACAAGTTGTTACAATATTTGAAAATTAAAAAAAAGATTATTGATAAAACCACGTTTACTTAGAATTATAAGTAATTAAAATATAAATAGTAAAATTTCGATGAAAGGAGTATCAAATCATTCATTTTTTAAACTTAGGTATATATTTTATAAATATACTTACAATCTTTTTTGTCCAAATATAAACAATAGTATATCGATAAAGTATGCGGGTATCCAATGATGGAAAATCCTATTGTACATGTGAATGTACCTATTTGTTGTCATAGAGCCATTAGGATACCACAATATAACTTCAAACGGATATTTAAGAGCGATATTCCTGCCTTTATCCAAGACAGTACGCCATGATATTGGATTTAAATTATGTTGAGTAAGATTGTACACAGGAATACATTTTTTTCTAAAAAAAATTATATATTTTACTTTATTAAAGTAATTTATATAAAATAAAATGTAAATTACACCAATTTAATCAGTTAGAGCAAAATAACTGTATTTTTTTTTTACTTACTTATCTTTTGATGTCCCCATATTCCAAGCAATAGAAATTACAGCGTTAATTGCTAAATCTACTGATATGGCTTCTGCAGTGTAATCCGGATTACATAAAATGGATCTTAATACGCCCTTGCCTCCAGCCACCATGATCCCCACGGGCCCGTTTAAATTATCTACCCACCCTGGCAGTGGTTCTTTGAGTGCCGGAGTAACTAGAAATATTATTTACTTTAAATCCAATAATGTTCTATCATTAAATTATTTTTATATTTACCTATAGACGGTCTTGCTATACAAACGGGCATTTGAGGGTAGAACTCGCTAACAATATCTTCAGCTAATCGTTTTGAAAAAGTATAAGTGTTCGGATGTGGTTTGATTAAACTAAAATATTCAACAAATCAGATGAGAACAAAATAAGATTGATTTGGATATTTCAATTAGGATACGAAATAAATACTGTAAATAATATTCGTTTTAGTTATTTGAAATAGGAAGGGCCTAAACAATTGTTTAAATTTATATTAAAAATATATAACATTTTTTTACATGTTATAAATAAAAAAAAAATACAATAAAACATTGTAATGTTTGTACAAGAAAATGCCTTTTTTTTTACTCAAATCCCATTTTTCTTGTTTTACAAATAATTCAGTTTGACATTAAATCTTCTTGTAATAATAATTTATCTTTATAAAAATTGAATGTGTTGTAAAAAGTTTTTAGACAATATTGAAATTATTCTTACTGAGACGTGACTGTCTGAATGGATTTTTCGTCAAGCCATGAATTTAATCTGATCATATTGTGCACATCGTAAGGTGATTTATGTACTTCCTCATCAAGACTCTCTAAGTCTACATGACAAAAAGCTGTCGAAAAGTGAACGAAAGACTAAAAAAAATATTGAAGTTTAAATATTAAAACTTCTTATGAAATAATTCAATCATTAGGCGGGTTAGTTTAAGAGGCATTGGAAAAATTGTATTGTATATGTACCCTAGTATTTTTATTTTGTTTTTTGAAACAATTTAATCATCGAGTACAATTTTACGTTAAGTTAGAGTGTGTATTATTTATATTATATATTGTGGTTTTTGTTAAAATAAAAATGGATTTATTATAGACACATTTATTAATATTATAACTTGCTAACTTGCTTATTTAAAAATAAATTATTTATTGTATTTTAGATTTAATAATTGTTTTTTTTCATTAAGTTTCAATTATTCTTTCGATTTTTGAACATTTTAAAGTTCTTACCACTAAATTCTTCATTTCAGAACAAAATTCTAATGTACGCAATGTTCCTTTTGTGTTAAGATTGATGGCTTCGGATAGCGTTGCCTCCAAGTTCAAAGTCGCTGCTCCGTGAAAGACGACTGAAACAGTTGATATTAACTTGATTTTCATATCAGGAGCTATACCTAGTCCATCAATTCCAACATCACCACTGATTACTTCTATTTTGTTCAATAAATTTTTATTTTTTGCACGAATATCGTTAAATATCTTTAAAAAGTTAAATGAATTAATTTTTTTTTTTTATTTCAAATGAACATGAATAAGTTATTGAATTCTTACCGGAGCTTTAATAACATCTTGGTATCGAAGATAAGGAGATTTACCTCTTTTACTTCTGATTAATACATATATTTTTTCTATGTCTGGACATCCTGTTAATAATTTCCACACTAGCACTTTTCCCATTAATCCAGTGCCACCGGTTACAAAAACTGACCGTCCCGCAAAAAATGCTGCTACTTCGCTTTTTTCTTCCATTTTTATATTTATCTGAAAAAAAAAATCACTGACTTTAATACAGTTTTTGGATATTATCATTATACAGAATAACTAATTAATCAATTATTTATTAATAGGACAGTTAAAAAGTAAATTTAAACCATTTGTCTCTTATTGATTTTATTATGAAAGTAAAATAAAAATGGTCTGTCAAATAATTAAGAAGCATAGAGCATATCAACTAATTTATTTTGAGTAGGATCTACTTTTCTATTTCTTTACATATTATAAAAGCAACATGTTAACTATTATACATTGTAAGAGAACACAATATATCGTGAATAGTTAACTGAAAAATAATTAGAAATAAAGTGAATGTTGCTTTTATTATGTCACAATTTCTTAATATATTTATACCAATTAAGTAGAGTTAGTCATCGATATTTAATCTTTCATGAGAGTTTTTTAATAAATCTGTCGTAACTTTTTATATGATTTTTACAAGTACATTCTATGTATTATTACATTTAAACGGCATTAACTACTTGGCTATAGCTTTAATATTTGTCATATCACCTAATGATTCTAATCATTTGGACGTTCGTATATCTATACAATAGCATAATACCCACTCGATATTATCATTGTTCACAACACAAAATAGGAGGAGGATGTGGTGACCGTCAAGGACTTTAAAATTATTAAACATGTTAAACTCTGTCAAGCGTCTTTTCGAAAACGAGTGTCTCATTGGACCCGTAGGGATTACAATTTATTGGGTAATACTCGCAACAGTATACAACTACGAACCAGTCTGACTTCTGTAAGATGAAACTTAGAAGATTTGTTTAGAAATGGTTACTCTGTTGTAGGTTACATGACTCAATGGTGGTTGTGGTCAGCATATTTAAATAAAAAAAAAAAGAAAAGTAACGCTAGACATCCGGAGAGAGTTTGTTGGTACAGCCAATTTAATTCAGACTTTACAATTACAACGGGGCACATTTTTTTTAAATATGCCGCACATTCCGAAATTATTGTAATTATTCTCAAAAAAAAAAAAAAACTAAATAAAATAAACGTATCATAAATAAGTTACAGATTAAATTTGACTAGTGTATAATATTAAGTGGTTTGTTTTACGTATTACAAATATCTTACACTATAAAACATGAAATAAGAGAAAATTCAGAGTTATTATAAATGCGATCGAAAACACTGAGTTTTTAAAAAACATTGTTTATTATTAGTATTTTTATGAATTGTTTTTGTTACGAATGTTATTTCTATAATTGGAATTATAATTGATCATACACCTGAAAAAATAGCAATTAAAAAAACTATTTTTTTTTTAATTTCTCAAAACAATTTATTTCATTATAATTTTTATTGTTAGTAATTTCCTTAAATACTTCGAGTTAAATTTAAAGAATTCTTCTAATTAACTATTATTTTTAAAATAGTAGAAATTAAATATTAATGATTTTGTTAAAATAAATATAAATTGAAAGTATTATAAATTATATTATTATAATTAAATTATATTATGCTAGTGTAACTAACAACTTTACTAATATAGTATTAATAACGTAATTTTTTAGAAAATAACATTAAATAAAAACGAAAAATTCTTTTTTTTTAATTATTCAAAAAAAAAAAGTTTTTTATAAATATTATTAATTTTACTTAATTTTAGAAATCCTAACAAAGATATTATTTGCTACGGCTAATTAATTACTAAATACGTCATGAGTAAGTACCCAAGTATAATATAAATGTTCACATACAAAGGTCATGTCGAAATTTCAAAATATAAATAATGAATAAAAAACCAAATATTTTTTTAACACAAAATACATAATTTTATTTATTTAATATCTTTACGCGAATTTATATAATATTTTATGAATATATAATTCAAGATTAAAAAATACAAATTAAAAACTATTATAGGCTAATTCAATGAATTATTTTCTTCAGATCAACTAATATTTGATAGTTAAATACAAGGGAAGAATTATAGTAAGCAATTTATAAGCACTATTACATTACAAATTACAATATGTGAACTTATATTTTGACTAGTTTTATTTTTTAAATCAAAAGAAGAAATGAAATATTTAGTCAATAAAAACGTATGCATATAATAGTAACACAGACAAAAAGTTAATTTCGGGCTACATGACTATCAATTTAAAAATAAAACTTTTAATAGCTTAGAAAAATTTCAATGTCATTTTAAATGAGCATTAGTAATAAAAAAATGAATTACTTCGCTAATGACAGAACATCTAAATTATATAAATGTATGATTTTGTCAAACAATTAGTAAAAATATATTTCATTTAATACTAAGAACCAAAATAATTTCGGATTTCAAAAACTTTTGTCATATTTAGTAAGTTAGTTGACTTATATCGAATTTTTTCCAAGAATTATGAAATAGCTATGATAAAGTAGATTTATGAAAAAAAAATTGTATGAAATCATTTTTAAAACCAAACTTATATTCTTTTAATGTCAATTTTTAAGTTTAATTAAGGTTTCAAAGGTATTCTCAAAATACTTTTGGTTTCTGTAACCGTTTTTTAACATATATGAAGAAAAATTAAAACACTATTATTCTTGTAATAATAGATAAATCTATTAATGTAATTAATTACATAAGGTCTTAACAACGTAAGCATTGCAAAATGTATGCAATTAATACGTATATTTATTAATTTTATTTTTTATGTACAAATTATACATTTATACTTACATATCATACACTAACAATGATTGTTAGGAATGGAAGTGATTTTTTTAAGAATTAATTTTTAATAATTAATTGAAATAAGATTTATAAAGTAAAAAAAAAAATCAACTATAAAACTTATTATGATAAGTTCGTTATATGTATAATTTTTTTTTAAATGTTATCATTATAGTATTTACAAATTTAAAACACATCTGTTTAATAACTATTTCAAATTATTTATTTTTATATGTATTATCTATAATATTTATATGAAACCTGTTATTGAAGTCGACGAATAATTCGCAGTTTGTATTTTGTTTGTTATGTAAAATATAAAACTTAAACTTGTAAAATTTGTGATATAATACTAAACACACACACACATATGAAATGAATCACACACAATGATGAAATAATATGATCCCTTTTTGGTCTTTTAAGAGATAAAATAGAATTTAAAATGTATAACAGTTGTGAAGTCTAAAATGTAATAAAAGTTTAACTTGAAAAACATTGTGTATATTTTAGTTGTTATGTGACAACTTTTTTTAATGAAATAAACTTACATAGACATGTAATCTAGTTTCTTAAGAATCAAATATGTGTGAAAGCACTTTTAAAGAGTTTAAGCTAAGAAAGTTTGTAAATAAATTAAACACATATTCGTATCTGGAATTTAAGTTTTCTCGATATAATCATCGAAAAATATATGTCGTCATATAAATTTGAAGATTTTTGCTAGTGAAATTAAAAGGATGAATCCTATAAATCCACAATAACTTAAAGCAGAAATTTTGCTTCTGCCACCATCTATCAAAATTATGTTTTACATCATTATAATTATTTAGTTTCATTATATTTCATTAAATAATTTTATAAACCAGTAATTTCAAAAAAATTACTGGTTAAAAATTAAAATTAAATTTAGACATTTAATATTATAGTTCCAGTCAAATATTGACCTATAATTTAATTATAAATTATAATTATATGAATAAAAAGTAATTTTAGAGTCCAAAATAAAATAACTGGAGGCGTGTAAGATACCTCTTGCGAATCAAATCAATGATATGAGTGAAAGTCTAGTATTATGTCAAACTCATATGTACATATTATATTGTTACATAGATACTATTACATTCTGTTGTCTAGGAATGTATTTAAGTACAATCAAGTGTACTAAGTTAAAGCTATATTCTAATTTAAACCTGGCCTAAAACAATAATAAAATAAATGGTAATAAGAGTATTGATCGATAAATTTTGAACGCTGAATTTCATTAAACCAATAAATCAGATTGTTCTAGTTTTGGCTAAGAATGGAACAATGAGATATCCAGAGCGTAAAACAAACAAAGTTAATAAAATTATTGTTCATTACTGGAAATATAAATAATTGATACATAAAAATCACACTAATTTAGTTAACATCTATAAATGCTGATATTGTAAGAGCATACACAATATTACCCACAACCAATAAATCATCAGCAAAAAAAAGTTTTAACAATATATCGCAGTGACGGATTTAATTTTTAAGATAAGTTGAGTAACATAAATGCACAACATCTTTATTTAAACTGACATAACATCAATAAAAATGTCATTATTTCGTTGTAAAAATGTTCATGACCTGCATAGTTTTCTCTAAGAAAATTTAGAGAACACATTATGAACTATTTACATTATACAACAGTTTTATTTAAATACATTATTATAACTCATCAGTTTTTAATTTTTAGCCAAACAGTAACTTTAGGCTTTCAAATTAATTTTTTTCACCAAAGTAATATAATATTTGTAGTATTATATTTCAGCTACCTTATTAGAGTAGGGTATTGTTTTGTTTATGTAACAACAGACCATTCAACTATCAACTTTCTTTAAATAGGTATATGGTTTAGTTGTTCTAATCTACTCGGATAGCTTCCAATTACTCAAATTGCGTAGAAAACGACAGCGTAAAATGTGATACGTAAAAGACAAAAACAATTTTAAAAATAAAACTGTCAAAAGCCGTTGACAAACAAAAAATTATTAATAATGATGTAATTATTTTACAATGTGATCATTTTTATTTTATGATAATTTATTTTTTACCAATTTGATATTTATATTATTTTAAAATTTATAAAATATTTTGGGAAATGGTGTGACCCTCTTATCCCCTGGATACTTTACTAGTCATTACAATGTATTTAAATGAAAATGTTGTATAATGTAAATAAATCATAGTGAACTTTATATTTTTTTTTATACTTCTCAACTTGCGTAATCAGTAGCGCATAGAATACTTAAAGAGACCATTGAACTTTCAAATTATCATTGATTGTAAACGTCGATTAAGAATGTATAATTAGCAATTTGTAATGAATGATGACTTTTTATCTATTAATAGGATGAAACTAATTTTTCGAATTTACAATACGCTTGTGTTGCATGACAAATTAATTACGATTTTTGTATCTTAAAATTCGAAAAATTATCGAACCCAACCGAACTATGAGTGCTGTACGCTGTACATTTAACTTCCACAGTATCCCTAAGGTTATGACTTATAGTGACACTGGGCGGCGATGGCTTGTCGTGATCGCCGCAAACGGGTTTTACTGAAACGTCCATCAAAGTGTTGTAACCTACTCGCATGTACATTATTATATTATGCATATAGTTTAACTAGAATTCCGGATTCTTGTTTCATTTTCATTGGTTTTTAAACTTTCACTCTATGGGCAACTAAATCGTCAGATCGTTTCGTATGTAGGTACGTTGTTCTAATATGAGTTTATACGTACACAGGTATATGTAACAATGCTATGCATTAACTTTGCAACCTTTTGCATAATAATCGCACCATTTTACAGTAGGTACATATGAAGATATTCAGATAGCTTAAACTTCTCATATGATCATTAAGGTTAATTTAAACGTTATTTAGATATTTTACTTTTATAAATGATAAAATCGTTAGAGCAATGCTTGGTATCTTATAAATAATGTATTTGTGCGTTTAAGTGCACTCAAATGCATATTTAATTATATGATATTAGGTCTACTTAATATTTTTTTCAATATAATCGATCCAAGTACTACCTGAATTTACAATTGTTCTTTTTTTTAAATTTTGTCTTTCATACTTTGAAATGTGTAACTTTAATTGGTTTTACCTAAAAATTATAAATGTTGAACAGTTAGTTATATTTTACTTTCTATTTATGGAATTCGCGTAGGCAATTACCAACATGAAAAAATGAAATTTCTATGATGTCATTATTTTTTTCTTTGTTAAACAGATAGTATTTCATAAAAAAAAATATATTTTACATTACCGCAGTTCTTACATCATTCATATATTTACGATTCTTTAGATCTAGAGAGCGAAGAAAGTTTTGTTTGTAAATACGTTTAAACACATTTACAACATGTCATAGAAACACGAAAGCGATTCAAGAGAAAAATAATAATATTTCTTTTTTAATTTAAAGTAGAAAAATAAAAACACTGCTGAGGATCATTAGTCAAAATGAAGTGGTTAAATACTGTAATACCTATTACTTATACATAAGAAAAAAGGGAAAACTTGAATGTTATATATAATTTTTTTTTTTTTTTTAACTTCAAAACTATAGAATTTCCCATCTCTGAGATTGTAAAATTTAATAATTTTCTTTGATTAAGATGGTTTTATTTTTTTTTAATAAAAATAAAATAATTTATTTTCTTCAAATCATTCAATACCGAACGTCAAAAATTTGAATAAATAAAAATCTTTATTTTGATAAAAAACATTCAGAAATATTTTGATTCTCATAGTAGCATCCAGTTATTAATATTGTTTATCTTGATATACCTTAGTCGGTATTAACGTAATTGTATAATCAATAATTACTGTGTTTCAGATTTATATTCATAGGTACTATTGGAACAAAATGTTTGGATGATCCAACTTAATTATTCTCTTCCTATAAAAAATATTTATATAAACATTTACATGTAATTTTCATAATTTAGGGGAGGCAGAAATATAATTAGAGGAGCAATATCCTCTAAGCATTTTCGGATTGCATTTATGTTTACATTAGTACAAACATCTTTACAAATTCAATTATCACCGTAAATTTCGATTTCTTCAAATACTGGTGATTGAAAATAACAGTATTTATTTGAAAACTGTAAGTACCAACTAGTCTACTTAAAATTGGAAATAATCAAAATTTTTACATTTTAAAATGCCTATAAATCTTATAAACCATAAATACTAATATTTCATTTTAATTAAAGTTGACCTGAGCTTATGATTTTAACAATTTTAAAGAATCGTTAAATTATGTTTCTAATTATGCAAAATTAATGGAGCAGTTAATATAACTCCTTCTTGGGTTAACATTATGCTAACCCACAGCAATTGTTCAAATATAGAACGTTTCATAATTTATAATTTCTTTAATTGAGATAACCAGTTTTTCTTTATTTTAGAAAGTCATATTTTTAATCAAATTAATTACGTACAGTATTGTAAAAAGTTTAACCGGTAAAATATTTTTACAACCAATCTAAAACTTCCAATGTTTTATTACAACTTTTAATGTGTGTAAAATATGAATTTAAAAAATATAGAAGTATAATTTTTATCTTAATNGTACAGTATTGTAAAAAGTTTAACCGGTAAAATATTTTTACAACCAATCTAAAACTTCCAATGTTTTATTACAACTTTTAATGCGTGTAAAATATGAATTTAAAAAATATAGAAGTATAATTTTTATCTTAAAAAAAATATTTCAATGAATACAAGATTTGACGCTTTATTTCTTAAAAAAAGGCAAAGAATAAAATTGTCAAAACAAAGCACTGCGAGAAGTGTTGAGTCGAAAAAATCGGAAGTCAGCTTTTTAGCCTTAAGCTCATTACAAATGGTGAAAAGAGTAATTCGGTCAAGAACAATGTCTTCCGGTACATCGAATTTAGGGGATTCACCCAGCCCATTGAGTTTTATCCCTAAGGCGTCGTTTCTTCCTCAGTCTTCGTTTCCATACGTAAGCTTCTCAGTTCTACTGATTGCGTTCAAACTGTTGCTTTTAAATCTCTACACATTATTTTTATATACGATACGCGATAAAGTGAAAATATTATTACCGACATTTTTCCTTATTATAACTTATAAATTTATTTTTATTTACTATCGATTTCATTATTTAATTTGTGTTTGTTCATAAACAAATCATTAAAAATATCCGTAATTAGTCTAATTACCTAGCTAATTTAAACCCAATTATTGGAATGATTTCGACATTTAAAGTAAAATTTTCCGTCCGGTAAACAAAATATTTTATTTACCTACACAATTTTACAAATAACAATAATAATACTAGGCCATAATTTAACTAGCAAAATAAATGTTAAACGAACAACTAAAGTCGATATGATGGAAAATTCAAATAAAAATCCATGCTAATTATAGTTCACTAAGCTAAATAATTTAGATTAAATATAATCGATTTTTTTATGATAATATACACATCATTAATATATATAATGACTGTTCATAATTGAAACGGTACAAAGTTTATGTCATTTTAAAAAGTTTTTATGAATCTAAAAAATATTTCATTCAACATTTATCAAATTTCATTTAGCATAAGCTATAATTTTAAAATTTCACAAAAACAATATATTTATGTATCGTAAAAAATCATTAGCCGTAATAGAAAAAAACCTATTATTTAAACTTTCCATTTTATCGATGACTCCTTGTCATAATTTACCTAATTGGTTATTAATTTATACCTAACGGTATACAAATTTTAACTCGACAGAAGCAATTAATATCGTCAAAAGTTATAACCAAAGTAATTTCACGATTTGTATTGTTCGCGTATTGTGTTATACGTTATAAGTTTCGCTATTGTCTAAACCAATATCATTTTACACAACCCTTAAACGACTTAAAGGTTTTCACATTTTGTCTGAACTATAATGGTGTACAGATATATTGAGTATTATACTAATAATAGTGTGTTTCACATAAAATGCCAATCTTGGCTTGATGTGTATATATATATATATATAACACCGACGAAGAAAAATGAAACACTTGCGAAACGACTAAAAGTAAAAACTGAGGAATGGAAAAATAAATTATCCTCGCGCTCCGGCCGCATTTTCCGCCCTCGGGATAAACATGTACAAACACGTGTGCACTCGAGGAAAGCTAGAAAACGTCGATTGGAAATGTAATAAAGGTATTTGGCGTCTACTACCCCGTGGCAAATAGGAAATACAAAAATCCGTTAAAAGTAAGTTACATTAGCGAAAAAAGCATTTAACAGTTGAAAGCAGTGAGACGGGTAAATTAATTATTAAAATCTTAAGATTTATAGAAGGTAAATTTTCTATACGTCCTTGTTAGGTTCCTTATAGAATTCACAAAATTAATTTTTCATGCTTATTGTGTATCCCCCAGAAAAATTCAATAAATAGTAATCAAAATGTGTAATTGATCAAGTAAATAGTAACAGGTATAAAATTATTTTTAGTCAATTGAAAAAGTTTTGTTTAAAAATAACGCTTACCTAGTAAACGCTCTCGTAGAAACTAAGTTGGTTGATATCCTTCGCCGTGGTATCCGAGTCGATCCGATTTGTTTACTGAGTGTCTAGAGACTTAATTGTGTTACAAATCTTGAAGTTTGCTAGATGTATACGGCCGTGAAGTCAGCATGGAGAAAGTAAATTATCTGGTCGGATGGACGCCCATTTTACATAGTTTGTTTCTCCTTCCTATACAAAGTTACCTACTACAGAGATCACATTAATTACTACGTAGATATTATTATATTTTTATTAAGGTATGACATGATACACAGAAAATGTGTAGATCTCATAAATTTTCCTTTCCGTTAATTCCTTGCTACGAACGTCATAACTTCTATTATAAACTTAAATAGCTAATTTAACCAAACACCAAAAATATGAACAATTGCTACGCATCGTAACCTAGTCATGTTCTGGGTTTAGTAAACAATGTATTTATCATTCCATCTCTTTAAATTTAATTAGATAATGTATATTGTGTAATAGTAGAAATTTATTTTGACAAACAACACTGTACAATAATTTGCAAAATACCAAAAAAAATTAATTGAAATCCATGATAATAACTATCATGAATTTCAGTTAATTTTTAAATAGTACACAAAAAAAAATTCTAAAAATTGACATAATTAGTCTATTTTGAACGATCATCATCTAATAAAAACTAAATATTTCTAGGTTCCATGTAAAGTTAAGAATTTCGCGTTTCGTTAAGATTAGTATGAATAAATCTTACTACAATTTGTATTTTTGTGTCTGTTAATACAAATAATTGAGACCAATTTTGCTTAATGAAATTTGAAAACATTTCAAATCTAACACATCTAGTTGATAATTTTTTAAATTTTTAAAAAATCTCGTGTTCTTTGTCTTACATAATTACGATTTATAATTTTTTTACTACATTTATGACTAATAATTCATAAAAATGACGAACTATTCAATAATGCTTCACAAAAAATGATTATTTAGTATACATAAAAATAGAATAAAAAGAATATTTATTTTATATGTAAATTTAAAAATGATTATTTTGATGACTTATGACTAGGGTTCAGGACATTATGAATTTATAAAATTTATAAGTTATCCCTAGTACATTAATGATAAATAGTTATTCGTGACTGTTTACCTAAACCCTAATATATGTTAATTAGGAATTTTGTTATAGTGAGTGTGGGCTGATCACTTTCCTCTTGAACAAAAAATTTTCATCTGGCACAAAGTTTGATATCTGGAAAGTAGTCTAAACAAATTTTATAAATGCATGAATTCCACCCACACCCTGCTGATGACTATCTCTCGCCCAGATATATCTGATGGTCGTTTTTGATATACAGAGTGATTATTTTATTAAAAATCACTTAAATAGTCAAAAAATAAAAATACTGTTGATGATTATCTTATTTTTTTATTAATTTAATGATTCATAATAAAAGAGTCACATTGTTTATATTATATAATTTAAAAAGAAATGGTAAAATAATTTTTACTTAAGTATAATCTGTATTGTATACTATCAAATGAATCATTAACATATACCAATTAAGCAAGTAATAAAGTTTTAATATTTAATAAAACAACTACATTTTTTAAAAATAAAAAACAAACACCATGCTTTATTGCTTTCTAGTGCTTTATTAGATGTGTATTGTTTTAGACATTTTTTTGTTTTACTTAGCAAAAATTAAGATTTAGAATAGTTGTAAACATAATATTCAATCTTAAATTGTGAATTTTTGACAAAAAAAAGATATTAAAATCAACATTATTTTAAAAATTTGATGAATCTAGCTTTCAAATGATATTTGGACACATCATAAATCTTTGATGGAAATAATATTTCACGTATAAAAGCTTAAAAATTAATGGTACCCTTTATTAATTATGCAAAAAAAATTAGTAACTGGAGCGTCATTAATAGGTCACGAAGTATACATATGCGTACCTAAAACTCTGTGGTAATAAAATAAAATCCATAAATTTACAGGTTACAAAAGTTAGAATCTGTCATCTAACTTATTGTTTTAAGATGTATTGTTAATAATTAAATTTAAGTATTATTTCTCACAGTCAGATATTTGACATGATGGATAAAAGACAAATAAATTATTTTTGCTACTGTATTTGAACATGTACCAAACATTAAAAAGTAAATAAATTAATTTAAACATAAGACAATATATACTTGAGTTTTTTTGTTATAGACTTTCTAAATCATTATAAAAGTCATTATGTAGCTATGACAATTATATTTAAGTAATAATATGTATATATATATATATAATTAATCAATAATAATTTTCTTTGTGGATAGGGTATAAGAATACTTTCACGTGTACTTATATTCATATTGCCAGTCGTAAGAGGCAACTAATGAGATTGCGTCAAGTTGACGGGTGTTGTAAAATTTTTTCGAAAAGTATGAGGTGTCCTGACACAGAGTTTGTTTGTTTATTTTCCTATCTCGTATATACGCCGGGACAACAAGTGAGAGAAAATAAAGTAGTTAGAGACGAAGAAGGCATAAAGAATAAAGTGTTTGATACCAGCCGGGCAACTTGTGCAGTAGTTGCTTCAACAGTTACGTGTATAGATCTACATTACGCTTGTAGTGTCAACGGTGTAGAGATATTAACACTCAATTCTAGGCTAGATTCATGTATAAGGGAGAAAGATAGATAATATGAATAAGTATATGGAATGTCGGAATAATAATTGGTAGAAGTATCAAGAGGAGATAAGTTAATATTTGTTGAGTATATGAAACTAAGTGAAAGGAAGATAAAGCAAGGTAAATAGATGAGGGCTTATAAAATATTATACTCAGGTAAGACCAATACAAAGAACTATGTAGGAATAATAGTAGATGGGGAGATCAAAAGTAAAGTAGTATAAGTAGCTAGAAAATGTAACAGAATTGATGCGATGAAATAGACAAAGAAGCGTTTTGGAGAGAGATGGATGAGGTGATGCATGAAACACCTGGTAATTAAGATGTGGTGATAAGTGGAGATATGAATGTCTGTAATGAGAGGAGAGTATATGAAAGTGTATGGTTTTATTGGGAAGAATGAAGCTGGAGAAAAAATTCTGGATTTCGTAGTATCAAATGATCTTACTGTGGTTAATACTTGTTTTAGAAAGAGGGAAGAACAATATATAACTTATAAGAGTTGGACTAATAGATCACAGATTGATTATTTTATGTGAAAGAGAAAGAACGTAAAGCGACTAAATGATTGTAAAGTTATTCTAGGCAAGAGTGTAACTTCACAACAAAGACTGATGGTAATGGAGTTATGGTGTAGTGGGAAGAGTATATACAATAACTGAAAGAACACTGGAGGAAAATCAAGGATACGGTGGTGGAAAAATGAAAGAGTTTTAAAGACGTTAAAAAAGAAGACGGTGTGGACTGTAGAGAAAGCCATAATTTACGTGTAGAATAGATTTGCTAGTTGTGTAAAGAATACTGAAAGGGAGATTGTTGGTAAGAGTAGGAGTTGAATGCCAAGAAAAAAGTAAACCTGGTAGTGGGATGAGGTTGTTTAAAATATCATAGAAAGTAAAAAAAAACAGCTCAAACTATGGCAGAAAAGGAAAAGAAGAGAACATTGGATGAAGTATAAACACTGATGAGTTGTATGATAGGTTAGGTACAAAGAATAGTAAAAAAGATATCTATTGACTCGTGAAAGTAAGAGAAAAACAGTATAAAGATTGTCACAATGTAAGTAGTATAAAAAGTTATGATATGAGGGTGCTAACGAGCGATGATGATGTAAAAGAAAGGTGGAAAGAGTATTTGAAAAATTACTGAATACAGTATCCAAGAAAGACATTAAAGTATAATTCATGGAACAAGGTACTGATGTATTTAATAGTAAGAAAGAGGTATTTGTGGTTATGGCATCAATATAAAAAATAATGCTGTAGAACCAGATGAAGTGTCAATAGAAGTATGGAAAACCAAAGACAGTGTTGGTATAAGTTGGTTAAAGAATCTTTTTAATAAAATCCTGTTAGAATGGAAAATTCCAAAAAAATTGAGAAATAGTTTTGTGATGCCGATATTTAAAGGCAATATATATAGCAATATACAGTAGTGTGGGAATTATAGATGCCTACAACTTATGAGTCATACTACGTACATAATTGTTTCGGAAAAAGGTAATAGACAAAAGAATAATAGCAGAAACATCAATAACAAAGAACCAGTTTGGTTTTTTGCATGGACAGTCAACAATGGGAAAAAGAAGAAAAAGCTATGTATGGTTTCTATAGATTTGAAGATAGCAAATGATAGAGTACCGAGAGAGGTTTTTAAGTGGGCGTTAATGAGAAAAAGAGTCCTAAAAAGATACATTAATATAATAGAGGATATGTATGATAGCACTTACATTAAGGTAAAAAGTGTGAGAGAGTAACAGACTATTTTAAGGTAAGAGTAGGGTCGCACTAAGGTTCTGCTCTAAGTCCTTAATCATTTTCTATAGTAATGGATGAAATTGCTAGAGGAATACAAGGAAAGGTATCGTGATAAAAGAGAGGAAATTAATTAAAGGCTAGACGCGTAGAGATCAGATTTTGAAGAAATGGGTTTAAGAGTAAAAAGGAGTAAGAAAGAGTTTATAGAGTACGAGTTTGACAAAGAAGAACACAAGGTAGGTGAAATGAGGAGATTAAAGAAATGAATAAGTATTAAATATTTAGAATCAGTTGTGTAATAGAACGGTGGTATTGATGAGCATATAAGACACATGATTAAGTGAGGATGGGTAAAGTGGAGAGAAGCTCTGGTGTGTAATGTGATAAGACAATTTCAATGTGGCTGGAAGATAAGTTCTATAAGATTGTAGTGAGACCAGCTATAATTAATGGTTCAGAGTGTTGGGAAATTGACAAGATAATAGAGCAAAGAATGAGTGTAGCAGAAATGAGAAAGCTTAGATGGATGAGTGGGGTGACTAGAAAAGATAGGATAAGGAACAAACATATAAGAGGGAATATAGGTGTAGCGTCAAATGTGGATAAGATGAGAGAAAATAGACTTAGATGGTTGGGTCATGTTATGAGGAGAGAAGAATCGGAAGCTGTAAGAACAGTTATAGAAATTAATGTTAAAGGAAGAAGAGGTAGAAAGACCAAAAAAGAGATAGAAGGATGTTATTGAATGCAATATGAAGGCAGCTGATGTAGGATATCGTGTTAAGTGGAAGTTTAGGATAAGAGTGGCCAAATAGTTGGAATAAAACTGAGGAAAATGAAGAAAAATAATTAATTAATAATTATTAATGATTATTTTTCTTAAAGAAGTTAGTAAATTTTTCGAAAAAAAAAGTTAAGTAGTACTTGAACATTACATGTATGGTTAAACATTCATTGCAGCGCTATTTAATGAGTTTAGTGCTGCAATCTATTTGATACTTGTGAATACATAACGTTATTTTTCGATAAAAATTCTTTAAATAATATTAATATACTTGTATTTTTTTATATATTTATTTTTATAAGTATAAAATTTATATTTAAATTATAATTTTTTGTTCGATTTATTTCATTAAAAAATACTTTATTTTTATATCTTAGAATGTAAAATCGAATTATAAATTAAGAAGCCAAGATAATCCTAAATTGATTCATTTAGTAGTAAGACTATACCATGTTATATTTTTACAACTGTTTTGTTGGCAAAATATGAACTTTCTATAAAAAATGTTTTTTAATTTTTAAATAAATCCCGGTATGGCCTTAGTTTATCGAGGTTAAAATAGAATATAAATTATTTTTTAATGATCTAAGTACTTTTGAGAAAGTGACGCTGACAAAAGTAAAGAAAGGTAGAAAGATGTAGAATATAGAGCGCAATTATTAAATTTTAAACCATTGATAATATTTTTTTAAATTTGTAAATTCGTACAACTAAAAATAATATAATAATAATATAAAAAAAAAAAACACATAATAGTAAAACCAATACTTTCTCAGCTTCGCATCGAAGCTAAAATGTGATGTTTTAAAATATATAATTTTTAACGGCAAGGAAAACATATAATATAACACAATCTGTCCAAAACATATGACTTTTTTTAAATGAGTTAATTAATATAATTCAGTACTTTAAATACTCTTGTGATATTAATAAAATTATATTTTATAGTGTTTAAATAAAAATTTTATGGTCGATTTTTACACTGTTTAGTACATACTATATCGTTAATAAAAAGTTATTCGAAATATATTTTAGAATATTTTTTTATTTCATTTGGTCATAACAATACAACAACGACTTAATACTATGTTAATTATCTATAATGTAATGAATATAATAAGTTAGAATTATAATCCTAACTTAATTATCTTTTCTGTTATTGATTTGATACATAACTAATTCTATTGCCAACTAAGTTCATCTAAAGTGACTAGATGACACTACAGTAAGTTTAATTTATCTAAATTAACTTTCATAAATATTCCTTAATAATACATCTGTACAAGGAAGGAAATATTAGTGTTGATATAATTACTATTAATATATTTACTTTACATTATAAATTCAATGGAATGTAGTTTTAAATAAAATAAAATATTTTATTATATTAAAATAACGTTCTATTGAATTCTTAATGTAACATAAATTTAACAACATCAATTCAAGTTAAATCAATTGCAATATTTTTTCCTGTGTGATAGGATGGCAGAAGTTTATACGTTTTTTACAATTTTGAAAAAATAGTTTTATTAAACTTGTGGCGTATCCAAAAGGACTTAAAGAGCTATGTTCTCTCCATTGGCCGTGTTAAAACAATATTTTAGGTAAAAATAACTTAAAAAAGTTAGAAAATTTTTTTTTAGTATTAGCACCTCCTCTCCATTGAAAAATCCTGGGTACACTACTAAGGTATTACGATTATAATTAGTAAAAATAACATATTATCGTTTGCTAAGTTATAATAATTAATAATAATGCAATTAAAATGTTGAAAAATATTATACCTTGCAGTTTTATGTATGATATATTTTAAAACATAAAACTACAAAAAATAAAAAAAATATCATACTAACTTTTACCTTCCTAAGATAACATATATAATAAAATAAATCAAAAATACATAAGTGATGAAACTATTACAATTTCTTTTCAAAACTAAATGCATAATATAGGAATAAATTGAGATTGGTAAGTACATGTAATATAAATATTTTTTTTATGAAGAAGATAATTGTTTTATATAATAATTTTATGACTATATAGAATAATTTAAGTGTTAACATAATAGTAGAATATAATTTATGAACAAAAATATAAAATTCATTTATTCTAAAGAATAATTAAATAAACATGAGTACTAATTTCTTGCTATCAAACATTATATAACATAAACTCTAAAATATTCAGTATATAAACATTTCACTAATATAAGCATTTCAAATTTATTTTAAAAAGCATTGACAATCAAGATTTCTCTAAGATATGATATTGTATCATATGAATAGTTTGATTTTTCAAATTGATAATATTTTGATGTTAATTACTTAATAAAAATAAACAAGTTTATATTTTATTAACGAGTTATAAAAGTTCTTAATTTTAATAAGTTTAATATAATTTATAATTTTGTAATTTTAATAGCTATAAATAATTTACAGAAAGTATATTTTATAACACTATAATAATGCATAATTTTAATTCAAAATTTCCTATAAAAAAATGGAAATTCTCAAATACTAATTGAACACATTAATCAAGCCGTTTTCGATATTCTAATTATAAATAATATCTTAAAGTTGTAATCATAACTGATAAAAAAAATTATTAATAGTTTTTGACTAAATAAACAATACCCAAATAGAATTTTTAAAAACAATGATATAAAAACATTATTGTAACATTATTATTTTTTTAATGCTATCAGAGTAATAGTTTAAAACGATTGAAATCTTAAAAAGTTACCATTTTTAGAAAAATAAATTAAATGGCTAATAAAATAACGATTATAATTAATAACAATTCTTAAATAAACACAGCATAAAATTCTTAGGTAACTTCAATTTTTTTTTTATTCGATAAATCAAGTACAAAAATTTTGTTAAAGAAAATATAATACAAATGAGAAGGAAAATTCAACTCAACAAAACATTATTGCCACGCATTTGTCATTGGTTTTTGTATGTAAGCCATACATACATGATAAACACATGTAGAACTCTTTAAATCATCATTCAAATTTCTTGATCCGTCATTGAATGTTATTACAATTAATCAATAATAATTACCAAACAACTAAACATACAACCAATGTCGAAGCTTGAATCGGGTAACCCCTCCAGGATCTCTGGCGTTATTGTATTCTATTTGTCTTAGTTCCAACTCGGCCTTAGGCGTTATTGTGTATGCTAATTTCTAAAAAAAAAAATTATTTACTTTTACTATTTGTTGAAGTTAAAAGAATATTTTACGTCTTTGAATGATGAACATGGTGCTTTATACAGTTGAAAAGCTCCAACTATAGGTATCATTAAAATTGAACTAAGAGTAAGACTCCATCCGATATATTCAGCCCACACTGGATACTTGTAACCATTATATTTCAATGTTTGATGATCAGCTACCGCAAAACACACAACGCTCTTTATAAACATATAAATTAATTAAACCGTTATTACAATAACTTATAATTATAAAAAAAAAAATCAAGTTGTTAAAATTTAGAATTCAATACTAATACAATTGTTCTAAGTTAATTAAAAAACTTTCATGGTATGCGACATAGGAAAATATATAAAGTTGGACTAATGATTAAATTAATATTAAATGTACATAAATTCTTTTAGAGAGTTTTATAAATCAATTTCTTGTAAACCAACTAGTATATAACATTTAAAAATATTCTTTAAAAGAATTCATTTTTTTATTTTATTATTTTTGTTACATATAATTGACACTATTTTTTAAGTATCAATAATAACTCAATATTATTTTTATATTTATATTAAAAATAAATACTACACTATATAACTTTATAATACTGTTAGTAAACTAATTCATTTTTGTAATTTTTAATGGAATAGCCCAATATGTATTTATTTACAAAGTAACACTTATTATTTACTGAAAAAACTTGAGGGTTTTTTTTCATTTGTCATAGATTATTAAGTTACACACTATTCATTAGAACAAATTGTTTGCCAGTAGTTAAATAGTACGTGATTTTTATGTGTTATTTGAGAAATGTAAATAGTAAACATACGACACTTTTTGTTCTTTTAAAAATCACGTGCTTAGTAATTAGCTAAAAAAGTAAAACTAAATGCTCTATATAAAAAACTAATATACCATAAAATTTAGATACAGTGGTTGTTTTGTTTTTTTCTTGCATCTAATAATTTACATAATAAAGAATATGTCCGACATAAAAAAAAATTATAATAATCCATCAAGTAGGAAAAATAAAAAATAACTTATTTTTATAAATTAAATTGACTGTAACAGTTTGTCCAGCATTTGATTAAGTAATTAAGTAACATATATATATATATATATATGACGACAATACTTCAATATTTAAATAAAATATATACGTTTTTAATCGTTTTTAAACATTTCATTTAGCTAAAACTTACGAGTATGAAAAGAGGACTGAGAAACTTCCAACAAATGCGCCAATATGGTCCTGGACGATGACCGTACATTTCTTCAACATCTTTTGAAAATTTTTCAAGTCCTATAACAAGTTAATTGTAGAATTTTAAACATAGCAATAAAGTACTTAAACTTCTTTAAAATCAAGACAATTACCATAAAACCACGAAACGGCAACACATTCAAACAACGCACTACAAAGTAAAGATATACCAGCAGCATATGTATCCAGCAGATGAAGAATATATATTCCACTCTAGGTGTATTTTTATTGATAAAAATCATTTTTGAAGTTACAATCTGTTTTATATAACTAAATACTTACGGGTGTGACGTTGATGAGAGCAACGCAGAATGACATCGCTATAATTAAAAATGTGAACTGTTCACGCGACCAACATATCCACGTACTTTTCTTCAAATTTCCATATTTCTCCCCTGCATGCTTGAAAAATCTTGGGAACTCGTCCATCAATCCGGTAATAACACATTCAAGACCACCCATCTGATAATATTTTGAGAAATGTCATTAATTTAAATACTGAAACAGTTTTATAATACATTTGCAACAGAATAGATTTACTTGTTAGTAAATCTAACACGTGTGTTGTAAAAAATTGCATTGAATTGAGTATCCATGTCCTACAATTTTTATTTAGTTAAAAAAAATTATCTTAATTAAGGTTTTGAAGTTATCAAAAATTTGTTTTTATATTTGGGGTGATCATTTTAAAGTTGCTTTCAACCTAAATAATATAGTTTATAAAAATTATACATATACTCACTGCTGAATCGATTCCTAAAGTGATAGCCATAAAAAAAAAGAGTACTGCCCAAATACATGACCCTGGTAACGTAGCTACAGCTTCAGGATAAACTTGGAATACAAGTCCAGGACCTAGAATTATGTTATTTTTGTAATATATTAATTTAATAAAATTAAAAATATTACAAACCTTCAGTAGCAACTGAACTAATTGGTTTTTGTTGTTGATGTGACATGTATCCTAAATAGGTAAATATGACAAATCCAGAAAAGAAACTAGTAAAACAATTTACGGCCGTTGTAATTAAACAGTCTCTGAAAAAAAATTAAATTACATAAATACGAGTTCCATTTAAAAAACATAAAATTTAAACGATAATTTAATAATAAACTCATCTATAAATAAATAATATTATTTTTTAGAATTGAATTCACTTACGTATAACAATTATTCTTAATGTTGTTATATGATGCGTAAGATAAATGAACTCCAAATCCAGCGCCAACCGAATAGAATATCTGCACTGCTGCATCCACCCATACCTGTAAACATTATATATATATAATTGGTACATTTAGTATTGAAACATAATATTTACTTGTGTATCTAGCAGACGACCAAGTTCTGGTTTCAAATAGTAGGCGATACCAGTAAGAGAACCGGGTAACATTAATCCACGTATCAAAAGTATGGTCAACACTAAGTAAGGTAACGTAGCAGTTCCCCAAACAACAATTCCTATTCAATAAAAAATCATAACATTATAGTTATATATTATAGATCAATTTCAAATACCAAATATTTTACCTGATGATTTAACTCCTTTAAAGAGACTTAGATAGAGCATAACATATACTATAAATACACAAATGGCCAGTTGCCACTTAGGCCAACCCATAAGTCCATTATCCAAACCATTCTCACTCATTTCTAGCACTCCACGGCTTAAAAAAAAATACGTATAATATATTTGCACATGACTTGAGTCTTAAAAGTTATTGTGCAAAAGTAGAGATTTTTTATCCATTATTTTTTGTGTTTTTATAAAAACAAAACAAAAAAAAAAGAGATGTAAGACAGTATACATCAGATTTCAAAAAATTTATGGTATCAAATATAAGTAAAGTGTCCAAAACTTTGATATCTTTTCTTCAACTAATGACGTTTTTAATAGAGAAATTGAATTAAAAAATCCATTAAATTAATAATAACTAAGGCTTCACTTGTCTGACTTTTTAAGTTATGAAAACAGTTTGCATGCCATATCGGAGTAATTAAATAATGTAGTAACAATTAAATTTACATTTTCGACAAGATAATGAATTCGTAATTATCATAAGTTAATTTTTTTCATGGTCCTAACAAGCGTATAACACAAAACTTTATAATTCATCAAGAAATCATAAAAATGTTTTACTATCAATTTTTTGGTAAATAATATTTAATATTTTATGTAACATTGTGGTAATATTGAAATTTAAACAAAAATACCTTTTAACGAAAATATCATTAAATTTTTACATAAGTCAACAATTTTAGATTAAACGATAAACATTACAGACAATTTTTTTTTTAATTTTTAAGTTGTAAATCAATGATATACGTGCAGAAAATTCCATACCAACAACACTTATTACAAGCACAAGATATTCTGCATGATATTTAAAAGCGACAGTTATTGAATATTACAAATACAATACGCCATAATATTATGATGTTGATAGCATGAGTATGAAGGAAATGGAATAACATATTTTATTTTGTTTTAAATAGAGTTTTAAAAATGACTAATTGGTAAAAATATTTTAAGATAAGCTTTTCAGTATTTACATACTACAAAGGTATCTGGAACATAAATATTCCTAATCCATTGCTATTTCTGTTTATAGTATATAATAAATTAGTATTCTGTCGTAAAATTCGATGTACATTTCAATTTTAGTAGCATTGTATTTATTCCCTTGAATGCTACTTTTTTATTTAATGGTACCTCACAGTTGAGTTGGGTTAGAAGGTAAAAATTAGTCAAATTAATAGTGCCTCATGAAATTAATTTTATGAAAATTTGATCTTAAATATTACTTTTATGTCATATTTATTACTTTTATTGCGTATAAATATTATTTGCTCTTATATTTATGGTTATTCAATGAACTTATCAATTAATTTAACAATCAACTTACTGGAAATATTCAGCGGCTGGTGAAATTGTGTCATCTTGTAAAGTACTATTTCCTATCAATGATAAATTTACATTGCGATCAATACAATTGATAGTATTCCAGGTGTTGTTACAGTGAACCCACGGAAGTGAAGTCGGAGAATTTACGGACATTGCCAAAAAGTATAAAGACCATCCAATGATGACGTTATAATAAAATGATACGTAAAAAGCTACGAGTACTGCACAAAATCCTACTCCTAATTTCCATGGCATTATAAATAAATATCAGATCCTAATAATACAAAATACATATTTAAAAAAAAACATTTACCTTTAAACAATGGACATATTTTTGTCCAAACGGAGACAGGTCCTTGTCTGTTGTATTGTCCTAATATAAGTTCCATGTAAAACAAAGGAACGGCTCCGAATATTAACATTAATGCATATGGTATCAAAAACGCACCTATATTAAATTATTATACATTACTATAAATTAAAAATACTCTATATTTTATTTATTATGTACTGACCACCACCATTTCGATAGCACAAATAGGGAAACCGCCAAATATTGGCTAAATCAACTGCAAATCCAATGATAGATAGTAAGAAATCTGCATTCCTTTCCCATGTTTCTCTTAGAGGATCTCCTCCAATGCAATCAACAGTTCGTTCCTTTATTATACTTACTATATGACCATCATCGAATCCAAGTACTTCTGTGTTTTCTAAACAGATCATAATGAATAAACAAAAATAGAACATAAATTAACATGTAATACATAAATTATACATCCAATAATACTTAATTTATCCTCATCAACTTAAGTAATGTTACCAATATTTTATTTATTATTTTTTACTTCAAAATCTACAATACGGTCTTAATTAATGATACAATTTACTTTTAGCGTATACGGGGGTACTAGACTTTTGCAACATGGATATTCGCACTTGCTTCTCTTCGTCATCTTCGTCACCGCCACCATCGTCTTCATCATAGTCATATTCATCTATTTCATCATCAACTGATACTTGAGATCGACGAAAAAATTCACGTGGGAAAAAAAACTTTCTAGCGGATATACCAAAAAAGCCACTTCCGCTTTTTCCTTCCAACACTCCTTGGCCAGCGGCTCCTCCTCTGCCCGCATTATTATCAAAGTTCATTTCTGATGTGTCGTTGCGGGTCGCAGTAGAGTTGGCAGCCGCCGCCATCGTACGGAGATGACAATGTCCGACAAGTCGATAGTTAACTGAAAACGTTTAAAAAATAATTTCGAAAAATAATAATAATAGCGGCAAGCAGAATTTTGGATTGCTGCAGCACACACGTTCAATATTAAATTACTGTACGATTAAATGCAAACGTTGTCGTCGTCAGTGCTATACGATCATGAAGGTGGTGACAACGTTGATGATGGTCGTAGAAATAGAATGAATTCGATAATTTTTAATAATCGACTTCGCATTCTTGGAAAGCTTGCACGACGACGACGTTGAGCGTGGTATGTACCTTTTAATCTTATATATTATGTGAACACGGTCGCTGGCATCTTTATTGCTTTTCCTAATGATTCGAGGTCACCACCATCCATAGTACTACTACTACTACTACTAATACTACTACTTAGATTATTACTACTATGATAAAGTATTGTATAGCGTAGTTATTACTATGACGGGGTAAAAAGGGCCGTGAAAGCCGTGCAAGACCGAGATGACCACGCGATTGATCCTATGGAGACAGAATAAAGTTATTACAGAAACAAATGCACAAGACAATACGAAATACGAAATAATTCAGACTGTAGGTGGTTGTCTTAAAAAATGTGTGGAGATATATTAAAAGTCAATCGATCAGAGACAAAAATTATTGAAGATTAAATATATTATCTCAGTATACTGTAAACGGCTTTAAAATGTCATATTATATTATTATTACACAGGCGTACATCGTTCCGTGTTGTAAATATATTATCACATCTCATTAAAACTTCTAAAAACAATTAAAATCCGTTAAGCGTTGAAGGAGACTACTCTCACTACTGCGAACCCACTTCAAATACTTGGAAAACTCGATATTACTGGGCCTATGCTTCCATCGACTTTCAAACTATTGGCATTTTTATATTAATATACTCTTTATCGCCTATATTAAATATAAAGGAATTTATTACTTACGTTAAATAAGACTTAGACGCTGCTACTGGTACTGCTGTTTACCGATTAGCAGTACAACAAGCAGAGTATTTTTAAATGAGATGACAAAAACGAGAAATCGTAGAAACGATACCTTCAATATTCAAGTAAAGATTAATATTTATTCAAATAATTCTTTTTTTTTTTGCTCCTACATCATTCTAATTTGTATAAAAATTTACGTTCAGCTAATTATTACCATGATTATAACTTTTCTATCCATTTAGAAAAATATAATGTTTTTCACTTTTTAACATACATATCAAACAATGAAATCCTATTAGACACCGATTAAATTTTCAGATATTTCTAAAGTCCTTGAAATGTTTTACAACATAAAATAAACTTATTTTATATCTAAGCCAAAATTGTGATTCGAATTTTTTGTTCACATTTGAAAGGGAAAAATATTAATTTTACAATGATTCACATTTCTTTGTATAGTTGCACAACATTCAATGAACATTTTTACTTCGACTTCTTCATCAAATCTTTTCATACATCACCCAATAGTACCTTTGGAGGTCATACGTTATAAAAAAATGTTTTCCTACCCAATATTATTGATAAGTATTTTTTTCATTTTTTAATCGAAAATCTTTAGATGTTAAATTTTATAAAAGATACGAAAAATGTTCTTTTAAAGTAGTACTTTAATTTTCTAACTTAACCATAACATTGAACATGTCTTTAACATATGTAAAAAAATTAAATTTTTCTAAGTATCAGTAATACATAATTACTTAAAAATCATAATGTTAAAAAATAATTATTCAAGTTCGTGAATAGAGTTGTTAGTGTGTATGTTATTGCAAAAGTAATTACATGACAAAATTAATCTTTTGTTATAGATTTTTTGGATTTTTTGTTACAATTTACTTATCTTATTGTAAAACAATATTTATGTTTTACTGCGACAACTACTATTTACTATAAGTTCCCGTTGAGTTTTCTACGTTACACAGTGATCAATGTTATTCTTGTTATATGTTAATGAACCATAATATGACGGTTATTTGAGTTTAGGAACAAGTTGAATGTCAATTTTTACTGATAATGAATCATTTTATTGCTATGAGAAAATACTATGGTCAAATTAATATCAGAGTTTAATAAGGTTAAATATTATCCTTTTTATAGAGCCTTTTTTCTTTTTTATTTAATAAAATATTTTCATAACATATAAGCAACTATAAATATATATATTTTCATTTTTTAGTTTCGATGCGAAACTAAGAAGGTATTAATTTTACTTTGACGTGTTTATTTATTTATTTGTGTCTGTTACCATTTTTTCTCAGCTCTCACTGAACCGATTTCTTTCAATGACATAACAAAATATCACAAATCGTTTTTAGTTGAAAATATTATCATCAAAAATTGAAACTTTTTCTCGTTCCCCGTTAATCACCCAAAAAACACAATTATAAAAATGGGAAATTTTCTACATTTTAAAACTGTCATAACTTTTTGAAAAATGAATGAATAAAAACAAATTTTTTATTTTAGTTTTCTTAAATATTTATCTATCATTTAGTATATTTTCAAAAAAAAAATTACTTTTTACCTACCCACAAAGGGGAATTCAAAAGGGCAACTTTTTCACTAAAAGTTAACTTTTGAAAATGTTTCGGAAATACTGTCACCTTTATAAATATATATATATTTATATATATATTAATTTTATTTTATTTTATGTAACATACTTGAATTTAAAAAAAAATTATACTACGATTTATCTTCTTTGTACAAATGGTTGCCGTTGTTAAAAATATGTTACTTTTTTGTTAAAATTTTCGATTTTATATTTTATAAATTTAACATTATATTGCTATAACTTTTTTTAAAAATGTATAGATCAATAAAATGTTTATTTATTCATACTTCATAAATTTTATAATTTTTTTATTCGAAAATATTTATTTTGTTTTTAAATTGTATACATTTTTAATAAATATTTTTAAAAAGGAATTTATAAGTTTCAATGTGAAACTGTGAAATTGTGGAAATGTGAAAATGTGAAATTTTGTGTCTCACTACTTTTTCTCAGGTTTCACTGAACCGAGTTTTTTAATTAAATTAAAATACTTTACTTAAAGTACGTATTTATTAAATTCAATTTCTCCATAAACAATAGAAGTACAGAATTCGTTTGTATACTGGATTAAGCAGAAAAATCATATCATTAAAATGAAACATTTTAACCATCGTAGACCAAAATATACTTTTAATTATTAATATAATTTAAAAACATAAGTTTGAATTTGATATCATTAAAAAGAAATTTTATGAGGATTAAAAAATTTTATTGTTTAGATTCATGTGTGGCCAGGAACTTATATAAACATTATTAATCGTAAATATGTAAAAAATGCTCAGAATTTCTTTAAAATGACTATTTTTTTTATATTAATCATTTATCGAAATAAATCATTTCCATGTAATTTTTGGTGACTTAATAGATGCAATAATAATATTAATTTAAATATACAGTATAATTATATCCTATAAAATTTTATAATATACTAATATTCAGAAATATTTCGTGGCTAGTTTTTCCTATGATTTTGTCAGCTATTGTGTTGTTGAAATTCATTTTAACTTAAATTATTTTTATATGTTCATAATTATTTTTAACTAATTATTATTAATATATAAAATTAAAAGTAATAGAAAATTTCTCATTGCAGATTTGTAATCAGTACGAAAAATTAATCTAGAAAATCATATTTTTGATTCTGATGAAAATTCCTTATAAACCAATATATTCATAATAAAGAAAAAAATATTTTCTGAGAAGTTTTGTATCAAGCAATCCAATTTTTATACATATTAGAAGAAACGAAATAAACAGCTACTTATTAATTTTTTATAATTTTTTCTTAGAATATACAATATAAAATTATTGAATATCAATTTTATACTAAATTTAATTACTAAAATGAGTATTTATTCATATTTTACACTTATAAATCAAAAAACTACTAATCAGGATACAATTAATAATATAGGAATTGATATTGCTTTTTAAATAATCTACCAATTTCTTAAAATTGAACACAATTTACAGTTTTTCGAAGCGTTTCTTATGATAGTGATTTTAATCACTGTCAGATATCATCTATGATTATACCAATTATGCCACGAGGACACTGTGCTGCCGTTTTTTTTAAACATTTAATATATTGAACACACATTTCTAAACATAATTATACGTGTACAACAAATTGATCAGTGTTATATTTTATATTTACGTTAAATATTAATTTGAATTACAAAAAAATAATTAATGTTTCCAGATCCAATAGTTATTTGAACATATTTTTGATATATGTTTGCAGTGCTTGTTAGTCATATAAACTGAACACATCGGACAAAATATTGTATTGCTTCATTATATTTAAAATTTCAAAGTATACATATATCACACATACCGAGTTTATTAGCTTTTTTGTATTGATCAAACATATACACACAATTGCATTTAATAATAACATGACAATGTGACAACAATCCATTGAGTAATTCGAAGCATTAAACTATATCAACCGCGTGTTGTCATTAAATTATTTTGTGTCCCATTCCTCTGTTATAGTAAACAACAATTTTTTTTTTAATAAAAATTTTGACGTTTTACAACTTTTTATAAATAACTGCATTTTTTGTTTTTTACAGACGTTTTTTAGTCGTAATAAGTTATAAAATTCATTCACAAAAAGTAAACGGATATTTATTGAATTTATACACGTAAAATCACGATTATTATGAATATATAAATTCATTAAATATTTCGCCGGTTATTGTTGTTATTACACACTTTAGAATATATGTTAAAAACTGAGAAATTATTTATAAAACATATTTGTGTGTTTTAACTGTGAAAGTTCGTAAATAGTTTATTATGAAAATAAGAAATTCTAATGTAGGTTTGATAATAGGCATGCTTTTTAATAACAAACAAATGATAAATTATTGTTGTAATATTAGAGTAATTTTAATTAAATTTAATAGTTTGGACTTCAAATACTAATGTTTTTTTTTTAGATTTTTATCAAGTACGACTTTGTTTGCCATTTTCAAAGTTAATTCTATTTCCTGTTTTCATACTATTATATTTGTACACATTGCGTATCCACACACTAATACCGATTATGAATGTTTATATTAATCAGTGTAACTGTGAACATCCCTATTATACAATAACAATCGCGGGATTATTAAAAACAATATGCCGACAGAAGGCTAATGTCGATTAAACTGAATTGTCTAGTATTACTTACAAATGAAAAAAAAGTCATGAGATTTTCATAATTTTTTAAATTTACACATTTTTGCTTATATTTGTCTTATTATCACACTATTATCTTTTCTCCATTTATAAAAATAATTAGCTCTCACATATTTAAAGTATTCATTCGTATACATTTCATGAACATTTATTTTTAATTACTCAGGTAATTTTTCGTAAATACTTATGAAAATTAATACTTATGCGTATGATATAAAAACAATTTATACTAAACTATGGTAAAATTTGAGCTATTTTAAATGCTCTTTTGAAATGCTACTGACTATATATTTATTTAAAAAAATTATTCCATCATCAGTATAATAATAAACTATTCAGTAATATGATTTACTCTTTAAGTCAATTTATACTAATTATTCAATATAGTAAAGTAACTTAAAAAAACGAATGAATTTTGAAATTGAATCAAAGAACAAACTTTGATGTGTTATTTTTAAATTTATAATGAAAAGGGTGTTAAACAAAATTTTTCAATGTATTTAAATTGCATCGGTCATATATTAAAAAGGATATTTTAAAGGTTACTACTAAACAGTTGTGATTCTCGTCTACTGTTAGAAAACTCTTAATGTAGTAAATATTTTTTGTGTCATATAATTCAAAATACGTTTTAATCAGAGATATGCTTTCAAGCAAATGAAATGCAAATTCAAATCTAGTCAACTTTTTGCTTTTCTCAGAAGATTACCTGTGTATTTAATACGATATCAAACGAATTACGTTAGTTCGTTTAAAAACAATATGTTAAATTTCTGCGACAACTATCATTTTCCACATATAGGCAATGTTATTCTACCTTAATGACTTGTCATTGAACTGACGTAGCCGAAGAGGGCGTTTTGAAGGATTAATTTCGTTAACATTCACCCGGTTCTCTCACTCATTCCGTATTATGGTTTTGCAAGTAATTCTATGCAAACTCGTGTAACGACTTAGCGTATCTTCAATAATTTCGGTACCGCTGTATTTATTAATTACTCGATCAAAACTGTAAGCATTGCTGACGGTTATAATATTCAAAATGTTTAATTTGAAACTGTTTAAGTTAAGTGACAAAACAAAAGTCATTAAAAAATACATGTTTGTTAATGTTTCTTCTTGCAATTTACTGAGAAATCCGTTTCGATATTGAAATTTGACATGACCATTGGTAACTAAGCACTTATTATGATTCGTCACAGATTATGGGCTATATGCACTGTTGACATTTATTATATAATCTACTAAACATTAAACTAAAATGAAATTTACCTGTATATTGTCATTGTTTTTTTTTTTTTTACGAAAATTTATGTTAACTGAATATGCAGTCGCTTAGAAGTTCAATTTTATTAATAGATAAATTTTTTTTTATTACTATTCAATTTTGAGTTGTACTTATATATTGATCAAAATTGTGTACATACTGAAATTATCTAATAGTGAAATATTGGGAAGTCTAAAGAGTTCTCATCATTAACATAAAATTATTTACATGAAGGCGTAGAAGACCAAGTCCCTGCGACTCTGTGCACTGAAAATAATCTGCACTCCATCATGATAAATTCCTAAGTATGTCGCTCTTATTAACAATATTTTGTATTACGATGCACATTTTCATAATAACTAACTCAAAATCTAAATTTTCGAAATTAATTTTTAAAAGAACTTTAAAAGTAGAAACGCGTATCTGTACATTAACTATATTACTTCAATGTTCACGCAGTATTTTACACACATTAGTTTAAAAAATAAGTTATCCGTGCATGAAAAAAACTAAGGTCAAATTTGAAAAGGCGTAAAATATTTTTATTAGGTTCAAACTACTTTATAAGTTATCTCGTATAAATTGGTAATTTTCTGTTATCACTTAAAAAAAAAATATTAGATCGCTAAAATTCTCGGGTAGACTTATATAAATATGATAACGATCCATAGAACTTGTTTGTAATTGAACGTATAAACAAATAGCTCAGTAAGAATAACTATTCATATTTTAAATGAACAGTATACTGTTAATGATTTGATATAAGGAAATCAGTAGTAGCTACTGATTTCCGTTGTACGTTTTCGATTATTAGATAAATGTTTAATCAAATAAATAAACATTAGTATACATTAGATTATTTAACAATTAAATAGTCTAATATACCAATATTTATTTATAAATACACGCAACACTTATTATAATATACATCTTATTCAGGATGTATCCTAATCATGAGCCTAGATAAGTTTTGAAAAGGAACAACGTTAATTAAAATATTACTCCTTTCCTATTGCTCAAAGATGCGACATGGAAGATTGATTTTAAATTTAAGGATTCACATTAATGCACATTTAGGGATTCGAGGCGTTCGTGATTGATCGGATTAATAATCATGTTTATATTGTATTAATAAATATGATTGTGATACTAATACAATTTCAGCTTACCTTTTAGGTCCGGAAAAAGTATTGCATTTTAGACTCGGCAAACTTTTCACAGCTACTACGCGACGACCGTTACATAAAGACTTGTACAGTAACACTACAGTGGTCGCTGTGGCGGCGGCGGCAATACCGAGCGCGCTCCTATTGGCCGTTGATCGGTTATTGTTTATTGGTATGTTAGGTGAACCTGAAATATATATTTATTCATTTCTCTTTTAGTTTATTTTTTTGCAAAATTGTCTTCATTATACTTTTAATCGATTTACAATTATTAATTTCGTTTACCTCAATTTATGTTGCCTATTATGCGGTTTCTTGTTAATTTTTTCATTCGACTTCCAGTAAATATCATCTTTTGATTTAGAACCTTTTGATTATCTACAATAGGTTGTTCATTTCGGTATGATGTTTCGACTTGGCTTTTTGTCATATTTTCGCATTATAGTAATCTTTTCATATTGTTTCCGTTAATACCGTAAAAGTGAGTAAATCCCAACGTGTGAAAATTCATATTTATTACTTACAACTTTTAAAAATGAAATAAAATCTATATTTTTGACATCGGATTTTCGTGAAAATAAAAATAAAAAATATTTAAGTTAATATTACATTGAAATATTTTCACAAAACTTTATTAAAATTATAGAATTCGCTTCCTTCTTCAAATACATGTCATCTTGATCATTAAAAAAATATAATAATAAAAATGGTTATAAGTACTTAAATGTATATAGCAAAAATATTAGTATTGACAAAATGTTTTTATTAGATTCTTTTCAAAATTATTTCTGAAGCCATTTCAAATTAAAATGTATTCTGAGTGTGATTATGTTTCATGACAGTTGACATAATAAGTAAAATACATTTGAACCTTAAATAAAGCGTAGGTTAAAAACCAAAAATTAATATTTTTAAATTTGAATATATTACTTGAATGTTTTGTTCAAAAATAATTTAATCTAATTAGATATAAAAATATTTCACAAGAAAATATTTACAAAAATTATATATATATTGAGTTTAATAAAATTTTCGCTGAATTCTAATAAGTTTTCTTGTTACAAAAGCCAATGAGCTTCAACAGTAGAGATAACTTTTGATATTACTTTATATTGGCTAATGTTTCAATATATCTGTTTTCGGCATGTAGTATTACAGCTTTTCTAAAATACTTAAGCGTTCACTGTTTTATGTATAAACAATAATTATGTATTTCTGATAAAAAATCCTATAAATTCTAATATTCGTTAAGATATAAATTATTCAATCAACTAAGTATACGTCAAATTATAACATAGACCTTTTTTACTTTTTTACGGTGGGCAATTAAAGAGAATGTACAATATTGTGTTATTTTTTTAATTGTAATATTAGAGAAAATAGCGAACTGTTTGGAAAAACTTTGCTAGTTGTATTCAGAAGAAATAATTATATAACTTTAATTATTTCAAAGTCAGTATCTATAGGTATTTATAAAGACAACTCTGTTAAAATGTTTAAAAGAAACAAATTAAATGTACTGTATTAAAACAACAATATTTGTGTATATATAATATTTTTGTTTGATTGTAGTTTTTAAGATAAGTAAATGACAGAACGGAGTGTTTTTATTATTAATAATGTGATTATGACTAATACGAGAAGGTACATAAAGTGCAGAACATCGCTCAAATAATTAACAGACAAAATAAATAAAAAGGATATAGAAAAAATGTATTAATTTTGTAGGGTTTAGGAATTAATAATTTTCCTCATAAATTGCAATAGTAATATTTGCCCTTACATCCTTAAATACTAATAAGTTACATTTAGAAATTGTCATAAATAACGTTTAAAAGGATAATTTTTATCAAAAATCGAGAAATAGAACACCAAAAGTATGCGATATAAATAAACTGAAAAATCGTTATGGCGTTTGGGTACCAACCGTTTTTTAGTAAAAACAACCCATTTTTGTTTCATTAGTACAACAAAACTACTGATGTGATAAAAATTCTGAAAAAAGATCTTAATTCAGCATGATGTCACTTAAGTATCTGACTGGCCACTTTTTTGAAATTATGATTATTTTGACCCCTAAGTACAGTTAAAACAACTTATAACTTAAGCCAATCGTTTGGTTGTTAATACAAAAATAAATTATTACCAAATTTTATATTTCAAAAGTTTAATGTAAAAAAGTAGTCATTTGCCCATATTAAAAACTGCAGTGAATTAAGTTCTAAACCCGTTGAACGTCAAATGAAACAATTAAATAACGTTTTAATACTAAAAAAGTTAAACTTACAAATTGTATGACGTTTAAATGCTGAATAATAATAATTCAATTATATGATAACGTTGTAATATGTTTAAATGTTAAACGAAAAATATTTTTTTAATCCGACCCCTCTTTAAAATACTAATATATTATAATCGATTAAAAATGGAAATTGTGTGAAAGGTTGTGTGTTATTAGAAACATATTTATTTTACCAAAAATTAACTAGTTGAATACTTATTATTTAAACATATAGGATAAAATTGCATATAAAATAATTAATGTAGAAATAAAAAAGAAGGAAAAAGACAAAATTTTCATTTACAAAATTAGATCATAAAAAACCCAGCACAGGGGGGTCGCGACACAGTGGTGACGTGCCATAGTTGGATCAAGTATAATGATATCTGACTGTGATTAAAATCACTATAAAAAAAACGCTTTTTTTAAATATATATTTTATATTTTTTTACATATAAAAAAGAATTTTTTTTACAAAAATCGTATTATTTTTTATTAACTTTGATGTCTGTTTTTACCATGAAGATAAAATAAAGTCCGGATTTTTTTTTTCCATAATGAAGTATATTACATTAGCTTTAATTTAAGATATATATAAAAGTGTCAGACTTTCCAGAACACTTTCAAAAGTTAAGTTGAAAAAGTTCTACTTTCTATATGCATTTTTTAGATTTGAACCCCCCTCGTATATAGGGAAATGGTTCAATTTAAAAAATCAGTATGTCGAATGAAAGATGTATATAAATACTACTTCTCATGAAAAAATTGTATTGATCCATACATTTTTCAAAAAGTTATAGCATAATAAAGTTAAAAATATAAAATACAAAATCGAGAATTTTCACACAAAAATATCATTTGGTAGCCATTTTCACTATGAAAATAAAATAAAGTCCGAAATTTTTTTTTTCCATGACAAAGTATATTACATTAGCTTTAATTTAAGATATATATAAAAGTGTTAGACTTTCGGGAACATTTTCAAAAGTTAATTTTTTGTGAAAAAGTTCTCATTAGAAATTCTTCCATGTGGACAGGTCATAAAAAAATACACCAAATGAAAGGTAACGATATTATGCATCTATATAAAAAAAAATTATATTGATTTGGTTATTTTTTAAAAAGTTATGGCAATTTTAAGTAAAAAAATTGAAAAAATTTGGAAAATTAGCCATTTTTAAATTTTTAATTTTTTTGGAGGTTTCCCCCATTTACGGGGAATGAGGGAAATTTTTTCAATTTTTGAGGGTAATGTCTTCGACTAGATATGATTTGTGATCTTTTGATGTATCATTGAAAAAAATCGGTTCGGTGAGAGCTGAGAAAAAGTGGTAACAGTCAAAAAAAAAAAAAAAAAACACGTCAAAGTAAAATTAATACCTTCTTAGCTTCGCATCGAAGTTAATAAAATATATTGGTTATATAAGTAAATTGAATTTTATAAGAAATCTTTTTTAATTTTTTGTTAATTTAAATAAGTTGTTATTTTAATTTTTATTTAACTCAAATATTTCACACTAGTTAAATCGATTTAATTTAATATAGTCTTGGAATTATTGTCGGTTTTATTTTTGTACAACGAAATTAATGATTAATATTAAACATTTTCTGATTAATCATAGCTATTGAAATTTTTTGTTAATTAATATTTAGTAATATTTTCAAATTATTTTTTATTTGTTGTAAATAAAATTTATCTTAAATTTATATAAATTATTTTTTTTACATTTTATTTCCAAAAACATTATACCAAGCATAATATGAAATGATTTTTGATAACAAACCTGGTTATATTGCATTAAAAATATAACATAAACATAAGGTTATTAGGAAAACGGGTGGATGAGTATAATTTGAACTTAAAATTAGAGGTTTATGCAGCATATGTAATTATAAATAGTATCCATATATTTTACTCATGAGTCTTTACTATAATTAAAAAGAATATATTAAATTTAACAAATTAAATGAAACTTTTAATGTTTATAATTAAGCTTTATATATATATTTTAATCTTTAAATGTATGATATTTCTCAGTGTCATGTTCTCAAAAAATTTCAGAAGTGGGTGGCTAATCCGAATACTACAACTCAATAATATGCCTTTGAACTCAAGGCCAACATAGACTATGATATAGTCCTGGTATAATATATCTGGTGTAAATACATAAGGGCAACAAATTCTCTCTTCTATATTTTATGTCAATTTAAAGTAGTTAGGATAATTAGTAGTAGTAGTAGGATAATTCAGATAATTTTAGTTAAATTTTAAATATAGTGGTATACCTATAATACTGACTTTTAAACATTTAATGTTTTTCATTTTTTTATTAAAATTATAATTTATATATAACTTCATTGAAAATGAAAAAATAACGCAATGTTACTATAATAAATGTAATTTGCTTTTTCGAGATATTTTAATAGTTATACCTTAATATTACTGTTATAAATTCTATGTAATATTTAACCTTTATTATAGCAAAATGCAATTGAAGTATGTTTAGTTAGTCTTAAAATTCTATCTAAGGTTGGATCTATAGCGAACTCATAATTTAATGTGTACATAGTTGGTAATAGAAAATGAACCGGAAATCAAATGAAAAAAGAGGCATGATATAAAATTAGACCTGCGATTTAAGGTGTCATAGAGACAAATCTTACCATTAGGCCACTGAGAATTTATGATTTAAATTCCGATACACTTTCATGTGTAACATGAATAAAACGATAAAACAATGTGCGGTTAGGGGAAACACAGTACCATGTCAAAATCTATAAGTCTGAATTATGAACATTAAATTAATTAATTATCGTTTAAAAAAATAAATCTTGAATTATATTGACGATACATAAAATAGACTTTACAGTGTAATTTTTATTATAGAATAATTAATGCTATTAAAATCAAACTCATATTGTACAGAATGTCATATTTGTTCATAAGTTTATGATTAAATTAAAATGTTTAAAAAAAGGATTGAAGTAATGTTAAATTTATGAGTTGTAGGATAAAATAGCTTGTGTTCAATTTAAAAATATTGAAAATAAAACAAATAAAAATATATCACATTTTATATCTTTTAAATATAATACAAGTACTAACATTATTTCTTCAATAAATTTTAAATAATTATGATTAAGTAAAAACTATTTTCATTTTAACAAATAACTAATTATTAATATTAAATATTTATTAATACAAACTTACAAAGTATAACATTTTTGTTTAAAATAAAAATTGTTTTAATTATAATAAACATAAATAAAAATTATAATTTACTGATAATAATAAAAACCATTTTTGAATCAGTTTTGGAAATGGAATGATTAAACAAATATTTAAGCATATTTGTAGTATTCTTTACCTTAAAATAATAAAAATAGTATAATTTATTATAAAATATCCCATAATACTATGTCAACAATTTAATTTGTTAAATAGTCCTATAAAATTCAGTATCTATCAAAATTATATTACTAATTTTAAACAAATATATAGAGTATTCATTCAGTAAGGAAACAAGTTTCTATTGTTCTCATTGATTATAACATTACTGTACTGTTTCTTTATAGAAAACTCTGTTTATTAACAAATTTAATTAAAAAAATATTAGGGACTATATCATAAATCCACATTTATCATCCAATAATTTAATTTAAAGTATCTTGTACATACTTAGTAAGATCATAACATAGAAGTAATCAATTATTCTATGTAAAATTGTGTTTAAAATTATTTTGTTGTTCCAGGTTCCTGGTAAGAATCACATGTTCCAAAAAAATCATCAGATTTGAATATGATTGGAGGCTCATATGTTAAAAGCTGTTTCACAGTAGAATGGTCGTCTTGTTTTTTCTGAAACATATTTAAAAAAAATAATTTTACTATTTTGTTTATTATGACAAGAAGGACTTCTTACAAAAAATGGTTTTAAAATTGTATTTAATGGTCCCTCTTTATTAATGGGCATACAAGATTCAGCTTCAGTTAATTGTTGATCAACTAATTCAACATCCTCACCAACTTTATTTACAAGTTTTTCTAAATTATTCACAGTTTTTGTTAATTCAGTTACTTTAGATTTCATTCCTTTAATAGTATCATAATGCAACATAGTACTTTCAGCTCTTAAAGCTCTAACCTTAATAAAAAAAAAATAAATTATTTTATAAATACACTAACTTTAACAGTTACACAAAAATTATATTCTAATAATTATATGATAGAGCAAAGAATAATTCTAAAACTAAAATAAATATGTCTCATATAAACAAGTATATAAGCAAGTTAATTAGTAATTTTCATCATACTATATTGGTTATTGAGTTATTGAATAAAAGCATTTAAAATTGAAGGAAATAAAACCTCATAATATCGTAATTAACTTTTATAGATTGTAATGTAATGTAAATGTATAGCTCTTACTAAATAAGTAAATGTATTTCATAAAACAAATTTTTAATATAATCTTTAATAAAAATTAATTGTATTTACGTCATTATTAAGAATAATTTTCACTAAATAAATCTATACAAAAAACAAATTACCATTTCCATGAATGTTTGAAATTCTTCTAGTCTTGTAAGCATATCTTCAATAACATCTTTTAAAGCATTGACCTTAAAAATGAATTACAAAAATTACAGTTACAAAGTTCCAATGAAAATATCTTAAATTTTTTCATTACTTCTGTTGAATTGTCAACTTTTAGGTATTCTGAATAATCTAAAGCTAATTCATCTAACATCTTGTCTTTGATTAAATACTTTAATAATTATTATAAGAATAGTTTAAAAAAATAAAAATATAAGCAATAAATGTATTTAAAACAACTGGGAGTACAATAAAATATTTTATGAAAATTAACACATTAAATAAAGATAACAAACGTTTAATTTTGATGTTTACATAATCATTATCATTACAACTACTCAACATTCAAGATAAGCATTATCATGAATGATATGATAGCTTGTACTATTAAAATCAACAAGTTTTATCAATTTGTATATTTTGTTATTTCTTCTAAATCAATCTCCCTCTATATCCTATTTTTTATAACCTATTTTGTAACACATACAAAGAAGTAATTTTGCAAACTATGTAACTTAAAAAATCTATTTTCTTGATCTTGGTGAATTAATTTAATTTAAAATTTATTAACAAAGCCAGAACTCTATATTTTTATTTTACGGCCTTCTGTCGTAAGCACCTACTGTGTAATATTTCTAAGAATAGTTATTTTACTAATTTTTATTATTGAAAATTTAAAGACAATTAGAATGGAATAAAACGACTCCTAACTACCAGATCAGCGGTTAGTGCCTATCAGCAGGACCGTATTTATTACTTATTTTTCCCGAAAAATGGTTAAAACCCCCTTTTATTTAATTAAGAAGTAGGATCGGGTTATTTTTTTTTTTCTTAAAAAAAATAACGGTAATCTGTTATTGATAATCCAATATTTTTTAAAATTATTAACCGGTATCTAGCAACCAATTGGTTGCTAGATACCGGTCCATAAATGTCCATTTTACAGTCATGCCATTATTAAGTATTAAGTATCTATAAGACAGTAAATAAACGCAGAGGCTTATTAGAGGGGTGATAAATTCTCTCAGAACAAAAATGATTACACTGTGAAAATATAATTCTTTTTTTTGTTTGGAGAAGAGAGATAGAATTTCTTATGTATATATTCTCAGAACAAAAGTATAACTATACTACTATAGTCATTATTACAACATTAGTAATTTTATGTTAACTCTTTATAAAGAAAAAAGGTATGAGTTAAAAATACACATACAGAGGGTGGTAGTAAAAAATTATCTTATGAGCAGCCTGTCTGAACATTATTTTATATCTAAAAATATTATAAATATATAATATAATATAGTACTTTCAAATTTTATTTTTATTTATCAATTATCGATTACCAGTAACCGAAAATGGTGTAATGTACCACATAAATTCCCCTTAAGATCTATCCCTGTTATACATTTTATTAAAAAACTTGAGTAAATTAAGATTAATTAAGCCAATTGAACTTTTGCCTTTGAACACATACACTAATTAAAATGCATTAAATTAGCAATTTTTATAGTTATACCTACTTATAATCCAACAATCACTATTTATATATATTAAATAGAAATTTTCAATTTTATTTTGTAAAATATACTATGTAGTCTTAAAATTTTTGATGATATAGTTTGATATAAAACAACAACTCATAGTTAAAAATGTTTATTTAATCTTAAATTAAAAATTGAAGCTATTTTATTATTTCTTAAATTAATTATTTTCTATCGAAATTAATAACAACTATAATGTATTATATAGTATTTACTTATTTGTAACTCAATTGAATAATTATTAATCAATTATACTAATATAAAATACAACTTAATATAAGTTCTTTAGAAATACAAGGGTAGATTTTAGATGGTTCCAACTTATGGACGCACGATTTTTTAATAAAAATATTTAACAAATGTTTAATAATAAAAGAGACGTGAAAAAAATAACAAAAATTACTTGTTTTGACAATAAATAATTACATCTTTCAGAATAATTTATACTTACAAGGAATACTTGTAAGAACCATCTAATTCCCTATCCAGCTATTTTTTTTACTTAAGCTTAATGATATGTATGGCTATACTTAAATCTAAACAAAAGAGAACTGTTGATGTTAACAACTTTTAATAAAACAATATATCAATCTTATTACTATCAACCTTACATTCTTAGAATATAACTCAAAATTTGATTCGAAATTATATAAAATGAGCCACAGAGATATAATATTTTCAATAAGTTTTGATCTAATTATTACTTTGTTGAACATTTTTTCCCTATAATTATTGCCTTTTTATTTATTATTTATCACTAATAATAAAAACAAATTTTTTTTAGCATTTTGAAATTGTTATTTTTTAGTCTTTTTCTTGGAAAAAATTTTGATAATAATTTTAGAACGTTTATATATATATACTATATACTATATTTAGTAGGTATATAGTACGGGTGAATGCAACCCGTAGTGGTAACGTATACTCCGATTGCAATATATACCCACTGTGTTAAATTAATATTAACTTGATAAATACTTGTCCTAAAACTGTTATCGACCTATCGAAATTTTTTGTTTGATTATCAACAAAAATGTCATCATAATCAAAAGTTATTTGATCTGTCATATCTTCGTGACTCACTTTGTACGCTGTTTATATGTCTATACATGAACATTTATGTGATTTTCATCAATTTGTTACGTACATTTAAATAATAACAGAAATAAACTAAAAATTGTTCTTAAATCAACTAAAGAATATTATTTTTTTAAAGGTTGTTATTAAAAGATGTACATTTAAAAACTAATCAATATATATTTCAATATTCGAAATATATAAATTCAGCAATAATAACAAGCTATTATTACATTATGGAGGCAGCTTTTAAATAAACAAAGAATAAAATGTTTCAAATGTTATTAAAAATAAGTCAAGTGATACATTTCTTTTAGCATTTGTGAAATAATTTTAATATTAAATTAATTTATATAATATAAATAAATTAAATCTTAAATATAAGATTTATTTATTTATTCAAGATAAATGTACTCTATTTTAAAATATAATTACTTTAATAGAGTTAATTTTTGAGATAATTTGAAATAAATTATTATAAACTTAAACGTGCACTCGAGTGAAACTTTAAAACAATAAATTACTTCAAATATTAGAAAGCCAATACTTTGTTCTGTAGGTTATATATACATATATATTATATCAAATATTGGTACATATAAAAGGGTGGTTATATGGAAGTCCCTCCATAAAATCCTATGGAGCTTTCTCTCAGAATATCACCATTTAAAGAATTTATATTAAGTTAAATTTGATTGTACTAGTAAAGATTATTAAATTTTCTTTTGAAATTTTGACTATGTATATCCAATGTATCATATTTATTTTCACGATAAATTTAAGTAAACGAAGGAATTTAAATATTTTCAATTATTCATTTTGTAATATTTTATATGAAGAATTTGATGTAATGTTAAATTATAATAATGTGGTTAAAAGCTAGTTTAACTATTGCGATTAATAAAAACAATTTTTACACAATTCTTAAAAAATAAACTGTTTTGTAAAGTATTAGATCGATAAAAATTAGATTCAAATTATTTTCATTAATATTTAAAAAAGATACATTTTTATTATTTTTTTTTAGTCATTCAATTGATAAAATTAACAATTTATATTATTACGAGAGATATTTTAAAGGAATAGTATTTCAATGGACACCCATAAGAGTTTGTAGAGGTTGTTGTACTAAGCAGGTTTGACAAGAATTATGAGTTGACTGATTTTGAGAATCTTGCAAAATTTTGTCAGTTCCATCAAAGTCCAATGTGGGCGAAGATTCATCTTGCAATACATTATTTTCAGTAGATTTAAATTCATGTCGACAATTAAGTAATTCGTCTGCAGACCCATTTCCGTCTTCATCGATATTTACTTGAGCACCAACTGAACACTAAAATAAATAATATATGAAATTTTATCAACAATTAAATTCAAATGTATATTATATTGTGTACGAATATATTTATGTTTATTACATGAAAAATAATTCGGGGGCATAAAAAGTGTAGATGAATTAATAACATTCAATATTACTCAATCAAAGCGTTTATATAAAAACAAATCTTCTCTTAGTGTAATTTAAATTAATTCTTATGAATTAAATATAAATATTTTTTTAATATTTAAATTAATTCTTCAGGGAAACACTATATTTAACTTGATTTCATGTTTTTAGACTAATCATTTATAATTTAAAATTTCGTATTTTCAAATGTTATGCATATTTTATAAATACATAGTTTTAATACTTGATTGGTGTGTCTAAAACGTTTGCGGTCATATATTTAGATACATTTTTTTTCTGAATTAAAAATAGTCCTAATATTAAATTCACTTATATTTTTAAACATAACATTATTTATTCTTGAGGAAAACTTTTTTCAACAAACTGATCTATATTTTATGTAACAATGTTGGGCATCAACTTTAACTAAAATTTTTTAAATATTTTAAATGAAATAGTATTTTGTTGAAGTTAATGTATGGGTCATGGAGGTAAATGATTAAGGACCTGTTTATTTAATGCCGTTAAACTCTTTGAAATGTCCAACAATAAATATGCAGACAAATTTAGTTTATAACCATTATTTTAGTAAGTATATTATTTAATAGAAAATTGTTCTAAAACTACCCTTTCAACTTTTTTTTCATTATGACTCTTTCATAAAAAATTCTTGGTTTGAGAAATAAATGTTTATGAAAAATATGATGTTTGTTTATTTGTATAAAATTTAAGTGTACTCCTCTAGATTAGATTAATAGTATTCAAATTTCTTTAGTCAATACCGTTACCTAAGTAAAAAATTTCGTATTAATACATTTTGAATGGTAATTATTTTCAATAAGAATTATAGTCTCACAAGTACAATGTTCGTTATAACAAAGTATTTCGTTCACTTTGACATTTTGTGGAAGTTGCTTTTGTTGTTACAGTTTTTGCTTTTTAAAGCTTTAATAACTTAATGCCAGACAAATATCTAGACACGAAAGTCCAGCAAATCGTCACGCACCACACCCACGATTCATCACTTCCGCAAGTTATCAGTCGTTGTTCCGGGGTGTGGCAATACCCTTGTTTAGCATGATGGGGTCGCTGGTAGCAATGGTTCGTTTATGAGTGTTATCTACGTATATATGCCACTCTAAATTAATTATTACTAACACAGGTTTTGGCCAGCCGAATTTACATTTGATCAATTGACTCAGATTCGATAAAACATAGCAATGTAAGTGAATGATGGACAAAAAAGGATTAACAAGATAAATCGCCTGGAAAAGGGATAGTCATTCATTGACGATAACATTCAACCCCTATTTTTTCTTATCATAATTTCTCTTTGGGTGCTCGATATACAATCCTTAGTTTTTTGAAATTTAACTAACTATTATTTTCGTTATACTGGAAACCTTAATACGTGTATTAAAATTAATACACGATGTTTCACATCTGAAAAATTGTTCAAATTTGAAAAAGAATACAATGAATTTGGTAAATTTGGTAAAGAAATTTTAAATGGTTTAAAATTTCATTACTTATAATTAGAGCTTGGATTTATATGCAATTATAAATTTTGTTAAGTTATTTCAAACACATCATCAGGCAGTAAAAATGTATATTAATTGGCTTGAAAAATTAGAAATGCGTTGTAGTATTGGAGACATTAGAAGGATTTATTTCTCTAAAGTGAAAAATATTTCTACTTTACTATTCTTACTACAAGTTTGCCCAAACATTTATCCTAAAACTTCTTAGATAAAATGTCTCAAGTAAAAATTATAAATGCATATAATGCGGGATCTAAGTATAACTTTTTTTTTCTGTTTATTGAAAAACCTCCAAAAAATATGTCATGCTTATATATGGTCTGAATACAATCTAACAATTCAATACTAAACTAGTATTGTTACAAAGGGAATATTTAAGGTATTACAGCTCCTTTTTCTTAAATATACAGAATGGAACAAACCTAACTTTGATTCTTGTAACTTTTGATACAATCAAAATTTTGTTGCAATTTTTTTTAATAATTTATTCTTAGACTACGTTAAAATCATATTTTTTATTATTTGTTTTTAATTATAAAAAAATAAAAATTTTCTTTTTTAATTTCAATAAAATTTAAAATAAATAATAAAAAATATGATTTTAATGTAATCTAAGATAGAAAAAAAAATGTTATTAAAAAAAAAAAATTACAACAAAATGTTAATTGTGTTAAAAATTACAAGAGTTAAAGTTAAATCTGTTTCACTCTGTATATCTTTTATGTGTATTTGTAAAAAGATACATCATATAATTATAAGTTTATAATTTTATTATAATCATAAGGTTTATTAAAACGTATCACAAACGTGATAACTCTTTACAATATCTTAAGTTGTTTTGATTATATAAAATTATAAGTGTTAGAGAAGTTTTTTTATTAATCAAGATTTGAAATATAATACAAAACAATTATTGTGGGCGCTAAGTAACAGGAGTAATTTAAGTAAATGATAATGCTCTATATTTGTATATAAAGTTACATCAAATTTTATTTGGTTAAATTATAATTTGTTAAACGCTATGTGCAAAAATATATCATTAAAAAAACACTACCATAATATGCAAGTGATGAAAGATATTATCTTGTTTGTACTGATTGAAGAATATAATTAACATTACGTTTTACATATTACAACGAAGAACATTTCCCTAACGGCATTAATTACTGTACAAACGTTGGCAAAATACCAACGAAAAAATCCTACATGTCGGAACACCCCTTGGGAGTCGTATTTAATTGACGTATACCTTTGTATGTACGCATCAGAAATGCATTTGTTAAATTAACTACTGACCATCCCTTTCTACTTTAACCCTCTCCTATATAGAGATATACACTGTTTTTACCTAATAAAGCAGTTTTATATAATTGGATTACAATACAAGAAAATTAAAATTTACATTACATTTTTCAATTTAACTTCAAAAATATAAAAGTATTAGACACGAAAAACTTATAAATAAGTTATGTCTTATAAATATATTTTATACATTTTAAATTTAGGGGTGTTTTATTTAGTTTGTGCTTTGATATATGTAAAAGTTATCTTATTACTCAATCAGTAAACTACGCTGTAAGAATAATAGGAATTATCTAAAAAAATTATTAAGGTAGGGCGGGTAAAAAGACCTAGCTTGTATTAAGCTTTGTATATAATCTAACTAAGCGTAATACAATTTAAGTCTTATTATCCGCACCTATCTTATTTATGACTACATAAAATAATTAAATTCCACTATCTAACGATTATTGCTTACCATAGATCCGTTTTCTGACTCTGTTTCATTTGGCGACACCGTTATACGATCTCTCGTGGTTAACTGATAAACATTCATCATGTGTGTAGTTTGTGCGTGTACCATCAAATCCCAAGCACTATCAAATGATTCTTTGCATTGAACACACACAAGAGACACAAAGCCTTCGTTCAGATTTCCTGGCCACTCTGTTGGATAAAAAGAAATAATTGATAAGCAATTATTAAAGTTATTAAGTTTAATTATCCATTCTAAAATTCAATTGCTCGGGTAACAAATCGACTGAAAGATAAACCATTAATTTTCCACTCATTGAATGCCAGCAGCAAGTTGTTTGGTTCAATTGATTTTCTTTTTTCATTTGAAATATAAACACATTACACTCTTTTAAACATTTAGCTTAAGTTTTTAAATAAATTCAGTGCCTAATAATCTAATTTGTACAATCATAGTATCATTATTAGCTCGTATATTATATTATTATATGAATATACTGCTCTATTATAAGCTAATGAATTAATTACAGAATATAAAAATTAGGTGTATTGATAACTTTTTCATTTATTCCTTTACTTAATGGGAAAATAAGAAAATATAAAAATGTATAAGGCTTAATATAAAAAAAAAACCCAGCCAAGTGGGGTCGTGGCACAGTGGTGAAGTGGCATAGTTGGATCAAGTATAATAATATCTGGCATAAATTAAAATCACTATTAAAATAAAACGCTTCGATGCAAATCTTTAGAAAAATTGGTGTATTATTCCAAAAGCTACATGATCTGCTAGTTCTTTATTAATATCCTGATTAAGATAAAGTATGTCAAATTAAAAAGGGATTATTAAAAAATATTATTTCTCATAAAAAAATTGTGTTGATCCATACACTTTTCATAATAAGTTATAGGATTATAAAGTTAAAAATATCAAAAATAAAATCGAGAATTTTCACACAAAAATAGCATTCGGTAGCCATTTTCCCCATGAAGACAAGTCCAGAGGTCAAATTTTTTTTTTTCAAATTAAAGTATATTACATTAGCTTTAATTTAAAATATATATAAAAGTGTCAGACCTTCCGGAACATTTTCAAAAGTTAATTTTTTGTGAAAAAGTTGTCATTTTAAATCCTCCCCTGTGGGCAGATAAATGGTCAAATTTACAAAAAAAATATACCAAATGATAAGTAAAGACATCAAGTATCTATAAAAAAAAAAACTATATTGATATGTTCATTTTTGAAAAAGTTACGGCAGTTTTTAGTAAAAAAAATTGAAAGAATTTCGAAAATTAGCGATTTTTAAATTTGTAATTTTTTTGGAGGTTTCCTTCATTTACGGGGTACGAGGGAAATTTTTTCAATTTTTAAGGGTAATGTCTTCGATTAGATACGATTTGTGATCTTTTGACGTATCGTTGAAAGAAATTGGTTCGGTGAGAGCTGAGAAAAAGTGGTAACAGACACAAAAAAAAAAAAACACATAGTAAAACCAATACCTTCTCAGCTTCGCATCGAAGCTAAAAAATAAATGACATGAAATTTAAGGTTAAGACGTGAAGAAATAATAATTTATCTAATAATATATAACTGTAGTTTAATGAAATTTTCAATAAAAGAAGTTAAAGATCTAATTAAGTTACTGACATATTATTTTTTTTCTGTCATGAGAATTGGAAACAAAAAAAATACTATTAATTTTAACTAGTAAGGAACTTACTGTAATTGTTATTGTTGACATTAGATTTGAAAAAATTGTTACACTTGCATGTGAATCTAAGCTTACAGTACTCTTTTTTGTGATCCAAAAGCCCTTGAAGTTCGGTAAACATTTCTCGACAGTTACCACAAATTAAAATATCAGAGTTACCTATAAAAATGTGAGATATTGATGTAATATAATAATATATAATAAGAATTGGATAAACCAAATAACTTAAAGACAATTTCTAGTAAGATAAATTTACTGTAAAGTTTTAATTGATCAGGAATGATAGTAGGTCCATGCATAGTATTATTCTGTTGTTGATTTCCACAACTACTGTTAGTATTGCGTCCCTTAGTAGATGGACAGATTACATATTGATGATTGATCTTTTGACGTTTTGAAGATTTCACACCGTTCCCACTAATATTGTTGTTATTGGCCGTGGACGAAGCGTAATAGCTACATAATAATAATAATAAATAATACTATTAATCAAGAAAATGAATCGAAAAACCGAGTTTTTAATTTTATAAAAGAAAAATATAGAAAAAAATCGATTACGCTCCTGCTCACACAATGGGTTGTAATTCATCTGGTATCAGAAATTGCACTTGAATCACGTCTCTGCCTTGTTTTTTCCAGATCATAATTCTTCGGACCATTAAAAACGTCTCCCCAACTGCCTGGCTACCTATACTAAAGCTATTGATTTAATTTTGTATTATACGTTTGAAAGATTACTTGATTTTTAACGCCAGGCAATTTTGTATTTTTAAAATTAGATTTTTGATCGCTTCTTCGTATCATTATGTCAAATACTCTCTGATGCTTTAAGTGCAATTTGAAGCAGGGTAATAATGAAGGAAAATATAATCCTATTTTAGAGTATACCTGACAGAATTAATTTGAATATTGATATGACCCCAACATTATGTCATTTAACACTTTGATTTATATGACAAGTCAATGCTGTCAATGCCCATAAGGGTTATTTTATTATGAGTAATATTTCAAACCTAGTTTAAATGTAAACGTTGAAAACATAGTCTTATTTGTTACATAGAAAAATGATTTATTATACACGACAAAGAAAATTAAAAAAAAAAAACTTATACTAATATTTTATTGATCAATATAAAATATCAATGAGTTATAAACAAATGTCGTGATCTTTGTATCTTAGTGAAAATGACTAAACTAGTAAAAATTGAACCAATATGTTAACAAATTTTTATAATTTTACTGGTCCACGACAAGCATTAAGTACACTTGTAGAATAAATTAACTTAGTGTCTGTGAGACGACTAGATTGTAACGAACTGAATTTGTCTTGTTACAATAATATATATATTCAATCCGTTAAATTATAGTTTTAGAGTGTTAAGTGTTAAAATATTATGTTTTCTTTACAAAATCTATGTGGATTATCGTGAATAATTAAAGTCAGTTTATGAAATTCATAACAAATATAAAAATCATTTTTATCAACTTTAGCGTTTAATATTAATTTTAATGAATTTTTATGTCGAACTTTAAATTATATACTTTAATATAATTGATCTTAAATCGTTAACCATTTTAATCAGAAGTGTAATGGTAAATTTAAATACCTAATTTTCATTATCAATATTTTTATACTACCTTTTTTAGTGCTATGAACTTTATTGTGAGAATTATGGTTTTATTCATTATGTATAATTAACTAAACAGTTTTCTCGAGTCTCAGCCAACAATGACAAAAGTTAAACCTCACGCCTAGAAAATTCAAGAGTATGTGATAATGTGAGTTATGAGCGAATTTCACAACAAAACTGATTTGAACACGGTTCACGTAACCACAAGTCCTAATGAACATCATCGTAGCCGTCGTTTATCTGGTTCGTCAGTCCGTAACTAATGCAACATAATAGCCACGACCCGTTTAACTGATTTTAGCCATATCATAGTAACTATACAAAGTTCTTGTCACTATTGTATTGTTATTGAATCTACTATGACCATAAATTTCTTTCGTTCCCAACAAAACGTCACTTTTAAAAAAGTTTTAAAAGTTTTTTTAATGCATAGAACTTTCAATATACAATAAATAGACTTTTTTATTTTAATAATAATGTCCTGTTATATTTAATTTATGCTAATTTATTAACAATAAACTTATACCAATGTTTGATAAGTTATTAAAAAAGTATCAATAGCAAACCTTTGTTACTACTAAACGTTTTTTTTAAGTTGTACAATAATGTATAATTGAGTAGTAATAGTACCTATATTATCTATCTATTTATTTATTATTAGCTACGTCATTGGTATTTATCATTAACCAAAATACAGCTTTTTTTTGTTCAAAATGATAAAATATTTGTTACGACATCGATGTTTGTTTTTTGATATTTTACTGAAATTAACAAATTTCAAATAATTGAAAAATCCTTATAATCTGACGATAATTTGAAATTGAAATAAGCTATTTTTGAAATTATAGTATTTCTTCCCAATAAAAAAAGTTAATAATTTATCACAAAAAATACTTTGATATTAAAATGACTGAGAGTTTCAAAATATCAAAATTTTTATTAGCTATTGCTTTATATTTTGTAATTCGTTCAAACAAATGTAATGCTTGATCAAATTTATGGAAATAAAAATCAACATTATGCTTAGGAAATATGATTTAACATTTATTTAACACATAACCCATCGTTATTATTTACGATGCATACATTTTTTAAATCAGTTAAACTCAATTTATATTAGTATAGAAGTTTTTATGTTGTGTTGCAAGTCTTAAAAGAATTATTAGTTATTCGTGATTTTAAATACTTTAACGAGTGTAAAAAATCATTTATCATACGAGAAAACGTAAAACTTCTTGCTACTAAAAAATCATACTAATTAACAACTTCAGCATATTATTATTGCATGAAACAAGTGCTAAAGAATTTTCTATTTGGAAAATGAAAAACTTTTCTTAAACCAAAAGGAAATGCTTAAAAAACTTATTTGATAAATTATTTCAGTTTAATTTGTAATGTTAAAATATCTACATTAAACTTTATTTTGTATGGTAATCACTATTTGTTTGATTTTATAAAAGAATTTTTAAATTATTATTTCAAATACCCTATTAAATATTTGCAACTAATATTTCATTGATATTCAAGAACAACTTCTATTTATATCAAATTTCTGCAGCAAATTAAACATTTTTAACTTGTGGATTCTACTATTTTACACGCGATAAAATTATAACATCGAAGACATTGAAAAGAAGTTTAACATTAATATGGAATAGCCTTTTTTATAGTTTCTTTCGTTTAGCATTAACATTATCATCAGTATTCGTTTTTCCTTTTATAGCAGTGTATCTTTGACGAACACTCACAAAATCGACATATCTTCTCCATCATCGTTACCGTTAGAAGCGTATCGACTGAGTGCTGAACCATTAGGGTGGTCATGTACAAAGAGCGAACGTTTCGAATTCAATTAAGTTTAAATTATGTCTTGTCAGCATACTATGTGGTAGGGTAGAAACGTTTTTGGAGTAGTCTGTTTTGAATAATAAATTTTTATTATTTCTTTTCTTTTTTTATTTACACCCAAAGATGATCTTACGATTGGCTTTTCACCTATATGTTCTAATCTCATTTCAAGAAATAATAGCTAAGTGAAAATTGGACAAGTAATTGCTAATAACATTTCGAATATCTCAGGGACTGTCTATTTATTTTTTATTTTATATTTTTTTATTCCAAGGTTAAAACTTATGGAACAAAAATTTACACGAATTTGTACTACAATTGCGATAAATCAGCCAATAACAATTTTAAATGAAGATAAATGTGTTCAGTTAAAAAGTATCCACGGATTTTGAAATCGAAATTATTATTGTATCTCGAAACCATCAAAATATTCTCCATAAACATATACAGTAATATATTAAATTCAGGGTCATCCATCATCGACCGAAAGCAAAACTTATAAATATTCAAACGCATTTCTTAAACGACTTTTACTGACAGTTGCTGTCCTTCCTGAGAACTCTTTCGAAGCTTTTGCATTATTAAACTCTAAAATCGAGATCTTGCATCACTGTATAATGCAAATAGCACTACCTACCTACTATTGTTATTTATATCACATCACTATTTTTAAAAAAGTAATAACAATATTTTTCAGAAATTACTAAAATATCTTTGTTGCAAAATAAAATTATAGTTATAATTATAATTTCCTCATACGTTAAACAATATAATAAAAATAATTATTAAATATTCTTTTCTATTTGAACTCATATTAATAATAGCTGTGAAATAATATCATTATCGTAAAAAATTATATTTAACTTGCCTATAACATAATATTCCCCCTGGAAATACTTAAACGGGTTAACATTAAAATGGTGAAATACAATAAACTTCTAAAAACACTTTATTTAAATTCTCCATTTTTATTTTATATGATGTGACGCAATAGAATGTAATCGATTTTTGTTTTAAAATAGTTTAATCTACTAAAATTTAAAATTTAATTTTGTGACTACGTACCTGTTATAATAGTATTCCCTGAAACAAAATAAAATAAATCAATATTAAAAAGTTAAAAGAGAAAATAAAATATTTTGTACTTTTTTTATATTTATTTACATTATCAAATAAAACTATTTTATTTTAAATAATAACATAAAAATTCAAAACTGGAAATTATCTTTCGATCTATAAATTATTCTACTAATATCCTTCATCTTCTTTATTTTACAAAAATTAATATCAAAATATTATTAAATATGAAGTACTTAAATTTTCATTTGTAATTTTAAACGTCATCTAAATTTATCCAAAAAAAACTCTTTTTCGTACTAATAAAAAAATAAATGGGACGTGCCATTTCTTCTTACATATTCGCATAACCTCTTTACCACTTTCGTCTCGTTTATAGTACTTTTTGAGTACTTTTAAGTTAGTTAGTTATCAAAGCCGATTTTACACGCAAATTTCCGTATATACTGAAATGTTTATTTTAAAATTAAATAATTATTTTAACAATAATAAACATATAATATATTACATTAAGACCTTATTGCTAGAAAAATTGTTTATTTGGAATTATAATTTATTTAATTAAAACACCAAAAATATACACGAATAAATTTAAAAAGAAAATTATGTATTTAAATTGGATTAGTTTTAAAACATGAGTATATTAATTAACAGAGTATATTTGGATATGAGTCTATTCAAATAATAATGATTCATACTTGGAAGCATCTTATTTATACAATATTCTTGCATAAGAAGAAGAGTTATTTGCACTAATTATCCGACACAAAGGTAAAGTGGCGAATGAGGGCATCGTTACATTTGAGATTAAACCGGAACAGTGGTAAAGTTAAAGACACCAATAGGAGAGGAAAATGTGAACTCGAATAAATATAATCACCTGTGTACTTTTGCTGACATTTAGGACAACATTTGGTCACACGGATATTTGTTACAAGCACCCGGTGGTGTCTGTAGTGGCGGATGGTATGTCAACAGAAGGTTAGCTCTGTTTAAAGCAGATAAGGCAGCAAAATAATATTCCTCGACTTTAATGAACGTTTTCTCGCCAACCTATGGCTGTGTCAACATAATATACAAGAAAACAAACGACGTAATAGGAATTATCAAGTACCGTTTGTTATCATAAAATGTTTTTTTTAATTTCCATTACTTTGATTTTTTTTTTGTACTCGTTTAAAGCTATTAAGAGGAAAATTAATTCGTTAGTTTGTTTTCCTATCGCATTAATAACCTTTCAATAGTAATACTACAAAAATCAAGAATTACTTGTAAAATAATTTTCTTTTTAAATTCATTATAACAAATTAAAAAATATAAAAATTGTGGCTATCAGTCATTAATAAAAAAATATTATAGAATACTATTCAATTCACTCAACAGATGCCTAAATGCCATTTTATTAAATATAAAAAAATTAGTTGCTGACAAGTTTATAATTTTTTTTATTAAAATATAAAAATACATATAAATATTAATATAAAGACAATATTAAATTAAATTTTTACTTAATAATATTTATCTCAAGTAAAAGGACTATTTTTGTAAAATAAAACAAAAAGGACGATGAATGAATTAAAAATCCGTGAACACGTCGTCTCGTGGGAAATCACAGTTGCCCACCAAAAAAATCTCTAGTTTTTTCATTTTATTTTTTAGGTCGGTTTTATCTTCACTACATTATTTACCTATGGAGTAATTCAGATTTGTTAAAACCCTTCACACAATACCCGTATTCAGTAATTACCTTGTGTAATGACATTCTACTACTCTCATTACCCTGGTATTTTTATCTAAAATTGAATACAGAACATCATCAACGCACGCCAAATGAGAGATAAAGGGGTTTCAACGGGAGTTATCTGACCGCGAAATTATAATGCATACTCGGAGCGAATAAAGGGTAGTTTTTTACAACTGGAAATGTTAATTTTAAAAATAACCTCTAAAAATAATATTATTAATGAATTATATTATTAAAGAGTATTTTTTATGAGTTAAAAGCATTGCAATTTTTGTGTTTTAAGTTAAGTAAAATGAGAAATCTTAAGCATATGTTTTGATAAATTAAATGGTAATATACTTTAATTTCAGGTATAAAAATATATTTGCTTCGATTTAGTTTTATTTTAATTTTTTTAGTTACATATATCTTTCTTTCCACTTGAATTCTTATCTAACAGTTAGACTAATGAATGTATTTGAATTTAAATATTATAATTATATACGTCACTTTATAAGCTGTATTTTAAAACAATAATAGCGACTTGTGATCAATTCTTATTATTTGTATTTTAAGAAATTATGCACAAGCTAAAAAATTTAATTCAATTTTTGTTTAAAATATTTACAAAATTACATAGTTTCCTTCGGAAATACTTTTAATATTTACTTAATATTATTTTCTAAAATAACCATAAGGAATTATTGAATCATGAAATATAGCCCTACTGACTATAGTCTACAAATGACAAACGAATAATGAATATTAATTTTGTATAAAGGGTATATTTCTGTTACTCTCTGTAATAAGTTCAATTGCATCATATTTCTAATATATTATTTGCAGTGGTTATTAAGATTGCTACTATTGGTTATTCAGTAAGTTTTCGAAAATTGCTTTTGGATTTATAATGTTGATCACGGATACCTTACATCCCTAAGGACCAAAATTCTACTATTTGATATAAGATATCTCGTATACAATATTTTGTCGGGTTTATTACGTTGTTGTCCAACAAAAGAAACGGACGGCAGAAGAGGTGTACAGGTAAGTTTATAAGCTATTATACGTCTAGAGTAACTTTGTTAAGGACCGTAGAGACATAAAATACCATAGAAAAATTGGTTAACTTTTACTATTGGAACTGAGTATATCACTTTCATACACGATTAGAAGGCAAAAGGAAATGTATATGACCGATTAATTGTATTAGGTGAGCTTCCGAAACTCGTCTTTAATAGGCCACAAATGGGTACAATGTGCGTACACCAATGGGTTACTATTACGTCTCCAGTGTAAAGAAATCCATGTACGAGTAGATGATTGGAAGGGAAATATATGGGACAAAAAACAAATTACTTACCAGTCATTCCCGGTTTTTGACAAGTTTTGCCTTTTTCTACCGGTCTGGTGCGGTTTCGGTTCAGCCACTAGGTTTACGTCTGAAAAATAAAAAGTGAAACAGACACAAAAATTGTATAAGTCTGTCACTTCAAAACATAGTCCGTACAAAAGTCAAAATAATTAAAAACTTACATATTTATGAATATCAAAACACGAAAAAATGTATAATGAAACAAAAAAGTGCATGTAACAAATACGTATAAAACAGTGTCAGTAAAACAAAAATTATAAATACATAAAAAAATAAATTTATAAATATAACGCTTAATTCGCAAATTAAGTAGTAGTAGTAAACGTCAAAAAATATCTCTTTTACTATTTAAACTATCTAAATTGTTTACAATAATTTGATATTGGAACAAATAAATTATTTATGAGTAGATCTAGAAAAGAATAAATTCTAAAGTCGTTTGATGAAAATGTTAATGAGTATTCTTCTTCAAGATCAAAATAATTATCATTTCAATGATAGAAAGGATGTCATTGGAATACAAGCGAAAACCTCGTAAAAAGTATTTTAACGTAAAAACAATCCAAATAATAATTTTGTTGACCGCGTTTTACGCGCTCTTATAAAAACAGTTTCGAAATTGAAACAAAAAATAAAAAAAGAAAATAGGCAATAAATACACAGCCAATGAATTAAAAGTCAAAGATATTCGCATTGCGTTTTACTATTTTTTTTTTTTATGATAAGAAAATGTTTTTAAAAAAGTAAATCAAATTAGGACTCTGACGCACGCAATTTTACGTTTGATAAACTTTTAAACGTATAGACTGCTTCCCGTGGCTGTGTATTTTATGAAACAGTGCACTTGTAATTTTAAATTCAAGTATTCATCGTTAAATCCGTTTAAACACACACGCGAGTGCTACAAATCTTTTTTGTCTTTTTCTTTTAGTATCAAAGCATTATAAAAAAAGTTAGGTATAACCAGAAGGACATTCTTTTTAAATTCTATAATTAAAAAAAATCATTTTTAATGGGATTTCATTTTAATTATTCATTCTGTCGCTATGACTTAACTTTTAGAAAAGATACTAATTCATTAAAGGAAAAATTGTTTACTTAAATGTTGTAGTATTATGCATTATTAACGCATGTATATATTTTAATAATATAAGTACTAAACGCAACAATAGATTTTCATAATAAACCAACTTTCTTTAAGTATTTTATAAAATGCAGTAGCGTTGATGTCAAATTTTATGGATATTGCATATTGAAAAAATGCATTAAGATTAACGAATGGTTAAACATTAAGTGACACCACCTCTAAATTATTTTATTCTTTTTAGTACCTTAATTATTATTAAAATATTTTTTCCGTAAAGTTTCGGACAATTACCAGGAGAAGCATGTCTCCTATTACAACATCCATCAAATATATGGATTGCATTCACAATACATATATTGTAATTGATTATTTGAAGTGATTTTGGACATTTCATCAAAAATCAATATAACTTTAAATTAAATAAGTTTATTATGTTTATTGACATTGCAACCATAACCAGACAACTGGTACAAAATGTATGTTTCTTAACCACAATAAAATCATATAATTTGTTGTATTAATGTTTTTATTGCATCATGTTTTCTTGTAAGATTCTATAGAACACTATTTCCTAGAAACTTATATTAAATGTGTGCCTGTGATTTATGATGGGTATATTGCGATTGTCAACTATTAAACATGATATGTTGGCCTTTTACAGAACGCGGTGTATTCGTCACCATCGCCAATATTTTTTTTTTCGAATTAAGTTCACAACATTAACTTTCGATAAATAATATGTACACCGATCATTAAGTCTTTTGAAGACGAATTATTCCATTTACTTTATTATAAATTTATGGAAAATTTATATATTTATAGAGATATTTTTTGTTTTTATAAACAATACAAATTCTGGATTTTCGACGGTTTTCCCTATTCTATAGTTGATTGGAATTTTGTTTCATAACGGTTTTACCTGAAGCCATTAAATGAGACGTCAGTACCACATACCACTTAAGAAAAAATCCCTGTCTTCATTTATCTTATATTTGTTTTCTTCGATTTTTCATTCTACCGAAACGCGAATAAAATTGCCTTATATACACTCTGATAACTTATATCTTGATTTGTGTGCCAAAATAGAACATATAATTATTTTTAATAACCAAAAAAGTGCACTTAAGAATTTTCTTAATTATATACTAAAAGATAATGAATCCTAATCGTTTTTTGAAAACTAATTTATTAACTAAAAAAATTAATGTACACTGAATTGTACCTCGATTACTTATATTATTTTATTTTATGTTATCATTGTTAAAAAACAGTGCCGTTGTCAAAAGACGGGGGTTTCAGCGCCATAATTTATTATAAAACATTTTTTTCAAACGAAGTTCAAAAAATTAACGAAAAAATTGTAAAAATATAAGACCACACTACATTGACCTGACAACGTAGTAAATCACCTAAATTTTAATTATAAAACTAATAAATGTTATCTTAAAATTGAAATCATTAATCAAAAAACAAATTTTAATGAATGGATTGCGAATAAAAAAAAAAATTACTAATAATTTCAACTTCACAAAAGATAAGAAATCTTAAATATTTGATCAATTTATATAAAGAAAAGATAAAGGTCTTTTATTGGGAGGGCGAAAGAATGAAAAAATTCACTTACTAGCTAAAAAAAATAAGAAATAAAAATAAAATCTGCAGTGTTCAATAGAACAATTTATAAAAATTAAACAATAATGCTATGATGTTGCGAGTTCGTTTAAAAATATTTAACATTTTTAAGTTTTGTTTATATTAATAAAATATTTTTATTATTCTAACAAAGATATTTTAATACCATCAAAATATTTATTAATAACAAGAAAATGTTCTATTAATTTTTCCATACGCAGTTTTGATGTATTAACTAATGTAAATCCATAAAGATAATACATTTTTTATGATTTTAACGTATTCATAGTACGTACATTTTATATTTATTTATTTAAATGTGACGATCTGTGAAATTTGTCTGACATTTAAATGTCAAGCACAATAATTAGATAGTGTTTTTTCTTATGTAGTTATTTTATATTTTAAAATTACACATAATAATATTTTAATTAACGATGTTATTTTTTCTATATTAACAAAAACATATTGAATAGAGTAATTTAATAAAAATAGGAATATAAAAGAACACACCATTAGGAATAATCGTATTTTTTCACAAATTATACAATCAAATTTCAAATAATGATTTTTCTCAACAAATTATTAGATTACATTCCTTGCCGATTTTTTCAATATTTATGATTAATATGGGTAAAACCATATAATAATTTATTTAGCAAGGCCCAATGACAACAGATAGATATTTTTAAATGTGGAAATTGATGTTATAGCAATACTCTATTGAATTAAAAAGTTTTTAGACAAACACATCAATCAAAAAAGTTAAGTTTTCCTCACTCAACGTGTAGAAAAAGTGATGTATAAGTGTTTAGGTGTGCAAGTAAAAAACAAACCCAGTGGTCTTTCGACTTTGGACTTTTCTTAAATAACAATATAGTACTCTTCCTTACCGTCAACATTATTCAAAACCGTTGAGGACAACTGCTTTGAAAACGGCAAAATCATTAATGAATAGTGTCATAACTCGAGTCTTACTTGCTTCTCATGATAAATAGACCGACAATATACTTCGGTGACGCTGAATCGTTTACTTGTCATCAGCAGATAAATACCGGTGGTTACCACGCTTCTTCGATTTTTCTTTTCTTACTCGTCTTTTTATTCTTTTTCCTTTTCAATGCTTGAAAAGTTCATTTAACCAAGACTTTTGGTAAATACCTAGTACGATTTAAATTAAAACTTGAAATTTTGCTTGTACTTTCAACTCAAGGGTTATTACATCAATTTTGAGCAAACGAAAAGGAATAAATAACATGTTTCTTTGATACTGTTTTCGTATCTAAGAAAATAAAAATCGAATAATATTTATTGATTATAATGAATTTTATAGAAAAACATGGATAAATGTGGTGTTAATTATTCTAGTGCTATAATCGTTCAGTGTCCAGCAACTCATTGTAATACACAAAACAGACATAAACTGATGCTTGACTGTCGTGTAAAGTGAACCCAACAAGATGTTACAAAATCGTAAACTCCATTTCAGTAGTTGTTTAAACCAAAGCCAGTTATCATTAATAACGAGTAAATGTCAGAGGCACACCGTAATTATTGTACGACGGGGCGTGATGGTGTGCTACAAATACGTTAGTGGCGTGCGAAGTACAGTGAATATTTATATACATATAAATTTGTACACATTACGCGCACGAGTTAAGTTCGCGACGTAGCCCTTCTTTTTCATAAAGATCCCTACCCCCTCAAAAAGTTTGAAATATAAGTTTGAAAACGAAAATAAGTTTAATAGTCATACTATTACCATCCATGATGCATATTTATATGCATGCCAAGCCCATTGAAATATAATGCTCAAATTTTTTTTTTTGAACAAAGAAATTACAAAAATAACAGTTGCAATTTAATCAACGTTTTTGGAAGGTATAATTCAATTATTCTATTTTTTAAAATGTCAATACAACTAAAGTTTGTAAAATTTGGGAAGCGTTATGGCAGGAGTTGAAAGAACTAAGACTCCCCAAGTTTCACCCTAAAATTGGGTTGACGATTAAATAAAATTCTTGAATATTGATTTAGTAAAAAAATTATATAGACAAATACGAACAAAATAGTTGAATAGTGTCAAAATCAATAAAGTTGTACACTATTTATACGTCAAACAGTAGGTGCAAATTGTGGAGGGGCTTAGTCCCTCCAAAATATCAAAAAACGATATACAGAGTGTTCAGTAAGTAAGGAAACAGATCAATTGTTATCAACAGAGAGAACAATAGAAACCCGCTTCCTTACTTATTGAACACTCTATATATTTTTATATAAAATAAATTTTAGCGAGGGGAAAATTGGATACAATAAGCCCCTCCAAAAGTTTTGTTGGAATTATACCTATGTATCAAATTTGTTTTAAATTAAAAATATAATTTTTCATACGTTTTAACTTTTTTTTTTTTACATTGATCTTCCATCCTAAAACTTATAAAAAAAGTAAAAATTTTGATTGGCAACGTCACAATAATGGTCCATTGAATATGACAAAATAATGAATCTTTATCATTTTTCATTAAAAATTTCACTTAGCTAATCGTAGTAGTGTTATAATTCAGTAACTGTCTTATTATTATAGTAACATAATATGATCGCATTTCTAAAGATTGTGCACACTCATAGTGCAAGATAAATTATACAAAAATCATAAAATATTTTTGTTTAAAAAGAATTCATAAATAAAAATTAGAAGTTGAACGAAGAGAAAAATGATTTAAAAACAATAGTGAAGTACACATTGATAAACATAGGTATTTTTACGCTTCCTTTCAGGGTTAATACAAAATCTTTTTCGTCTTTCACGAATGAGTAACTAAAAAATACGTTATTTATGTATAATGTGTACAGGCGTGCTCTAATTAATTAACTACCTTTTACTTTGAGTGTAATGAAAAATCTCTCGACCACAATTATATAATTAACAAAACGTGGTCCCAGATCATTAGTCAAATAAACTTAACAGTTATGGTTGTTCTAAAATATGTCAAATGGGTAAAAAATATTCTTTCAATTAGATTTTGAATAACGTATCCACTAGTTGATGCTGGATCACGTAAAAAAATAATCATAGAAATGACTTTTATGTCCTTTTTTTTATTGAAAATTTTAACTTAAAAGTACTATTTTATTGATACCTTTTTAAAAATAAACCACAGGATATTTTTATAATATTTGCTTTGACAAAATATAAAAAATTTTTGACAAGTTTGACTACTTTAATTAACATTGTTTTATAAATGAAGTTAATTGTATTATAATATTAGCATAATTAGTTAATAATTTTTAAGTCGCTAAAGACTAATTATCAACATTTGTATTTAAAATAATTTAAACTTCAATTTTTCAATTTAATTATTCAAATTATATAATAAGATTTTATAATGTACTAATTGTTACAATGGTGAGCAACTATATTTCCGACGAAAGTGATATCATTGAAAACTTATTTTTATCAAATAATTTATTATTTTGAACATTGACACTTATAATTCTTGAAGCATATATACGTGTTATTACAATTACATAACATATCTTATGACGTATAAAATACATATGATATTTATAATTATAGAAAAAACAATGAACATATTTTAATTATTTATATAGAATAAATATGTGTCATTGTTATTATAGATATATAAAGAAAAAATTAAATGGACTTAAGTATTAGTTATACAATTTTACGTTAAAAAATCGAAAGAAAATAAATCTTTAGAAGAAATAAATCTCCTGAATTGAGTAAAAAAATAAAGTAGTTCATATAAACTTCAAGATTAAATATATTTCTGTACCCCTTTCAAGAGCGTTACTAAAGTGTAACCAAATCTAATCATAGAAGCAAGATAAGAACTTATAAACACCCAAGTACACACATGAACACGTCATAGTAAACCAATAAACAACGTTGTTTATTGTGGTAAACTTAACTGAACTTTTCACAATATTTTAGTATGTAGCACCCGCATTTACTTTATTCAAATATGACCTCAACTTAAATTTGTTTAATTTAAATTACATAATTTGGTAATTTCTAACGGGCTAACTTGTGACGATGATTAAACTCAACGATGACTAAATATTTTTCTGATTCCATCACTTATTTTTGTGAACAAATATTTTCTGTTTCTTAACAATACTTGTAATATTTTACTAATGTTTATGATCGATACGACTAAAATTATAATAGGTATTTAACTGCCCCAAGTTAACCACCGCTCCAAATAATGACAAATTAAACAATTAACAAATTAATGGTATTAATTAAATTTATTTTATTTTTAATGTTAAAATCCTATTTTTTGAAATACTTCAAAGTGTTTATTTTTTCAGGTGAATGATTTTAAAGCATAGCTGTATATTATGTTGAAATGAGATATAAGTACATTTTGCGTCACACGTACGGTTTTAAAAAGATTGAGTGCGCATTTCGCTCGAAGGTCTTAGTAGTTGGCTCAAACACGAAATGACCATTATACTAAGTGACATCTCCGTAGAAACTCGGATTGTTTCTGTCTCGGAAAAAACAATCAAGATAAAAACAAATTTTTCTAAACAGAGATCAAACTCTAGAAATCATTTATACTTCATTATGATAATCACTCACCATAAACTTTCAATACAAATTATCATATTAAAAATAATACTTATTATGATTGAATATCGTGTTACAATATAAAATACAAAAGGATCGAGTATGATTTTGAAAATTGTCTTCAACAGTATACTATGTAGCAATATTGTTTAAATTTATAGATTGAAAACTCATCTAAATAGTTTTATGCAACAGATAAGAAAGACGTGAGTGTGTTTGAAGCAAATTATAATTCAGCACCATCGTTTTACGAAAACGTAAAACTGTTTTATTATTCATCTGTTCGCACCTTGCTAAAGGCATATTGTTTATTCTCTTCTTTTTGTTTTTCTATTAGCAATCGTGTGTAAGGCGATGGCGAGAAAAAGAACGACGGTATTTCGGTAAACCTGCAATTTCATGCATATTGTATGGAAGCGAGTAGTACAGTAGAGCAATAAGGGAGAATCTATGGGACGGTATAATAAAATCATAATTCTTTTTTTACTGTTTTGCACGCGTTGTTGTTTTTCGACATCGCCGCCACATATCGCTGGTTACTTTTAAATATTACCTACTCGGCCATCATAATTTTTTTAAAACGATGCACGCTAAATGATGCTCACAAATAACCATTAACATTACCGGCTAAATTGTAAAAAATTTAATTTTCATTCAGATTTGGAGGAAAGGAAGTTATCCAACTGCTATTTTCGTGACATATTTGTAAAAAATAACTTTTTCGTTCTTCGTATACGAGTTGTGAGAAACATTACCCGTTGGAAACACTGCAGAATATGCGGTGAGAGAATAAGTAGAAGAAAACTTCGGTACGACGGCGTGCGCGCCGTGAGAATGTAAACAGTTCAGGGGCCAGAGTTGTGCATGACAGAAACGNGAGAAACATTACCCGTTGGAAACACTGCAGAATATGCGGTGAGAGAATAAGTAGAAGAAAACTTCGGTACGACGGCGTGCGCGTCCGTGAGAATGTAAACAGTTCAGGGGCCAGAGTTGTGCATGACAGAAACAATTCAAAGTTTTAAAATTCGTCACAACCCCACCCTTCGGATATAATGTTCATATAGATAGCTAGACAACTAAGTGTTCCGAAAGTACACTGCTCGATTATATTTTTCTTCCATTTGACATTCAAACAAATTACTTCATGTTATATTTTTACTAAATTTCTACGCAAATCGTGTTTATAAAGTTATATCATTCTCATGGGATACACGTATGAGTCAATTTAATGCTACTAAAAACCACGTACTACAATTTATTTAAATGAGCAATACGCGAAGTATATCGAGGAAAAGTAGAGTATTTTATACTAAAACAAACATACAAATATATATATATATATATATATGCTCAATTATATGACGTTACTGACTTTTAAAATAAAAATCGTTGTAACAAATAGTATACCGTTGTATAATATATGGATACGTTGTAAGAATTTGAAAACAATCGTAAAAGTCTTACCGATTAAAATAATTAGTATTAATACACATCAATACTTTAAAAGTTATAAAATCAAAAACAATTATATTATTTCTTAAAAATTCAATAACCCGAAGCCGATCTAAATGACAAATCTTATAACTTTTGACAGATTCAATATTTTGTTGTAATTCCTTTTAAATAATTGAATAATATTCTTAGTTACGTTAAAACCATATTTCTTTTATTTATATTTAATAATGAAAAAATTTTTTTTATTTCAAAATATCAGTTTTTTAATAACAATATTAAGACGAGTATATATTAAGTTACAAGTATTTTAATATTTAGAGTATGTAGCTCGGGTGGGTATACCCCGTACTGGTGTATATTTATAACACTTTCACTCCTTCGTTGCATACCCACTCTGTCTATTAAAATGTTTGTAACTTGATGAGTCTTAAACTGTTAGTGGCCCATCAAATTTTTTTAAAAGCAAAACTCTTAAAAACGACAATTTTTATATTTTAAAAAGAAAATCTGTTCCACACTGTAAATTGTATATAAATAATTACTCTAAATGACACCTTGCTATATATATATATTTTTTTTTTTTGTACAAATAGCAATCAATACAAATTTAAAGAAATTCCTCAATTTCACTACGCTGAATCCAAACTGTAGTTAAATTTTTATTATTTATATACAAAATCTACGATGAAAAACTAAAAACTATAAAGCATGCTGCAATTACAAAAAAATTATTGTTATTGTACTAAATACTATAGACGTATTAATTATGTAACTTTACCTAGGGTTTGTCCTAAAACAGTTCTAGCGTCTTCGCCCACACAAGCACTACGAGCATCAAAGGGATTAGTGAACTGAACAAACGCGAATCCTTTGTGCATTGATATTCCTGTAACATACAAAATAATTTGTTAATGATGTTAATATACTAAAATAATAACTAAATGTTCACTTCAGCGTGAAATATTTTAAATGAAAATCTATTAATAATAATATTAATATTTTTTTAACTTAAGTGTTATATGCTAAATATTTTTATGATACATAACCAAAATGTGATTATTACAGTCAAATTTTTTTTTTCGATTAACTCTTCAATATATTTATAGATTACCTTGAGTTAAATATTGTTGAGCGTTTAAAAGTTATGTTTTTTGTTTAACATTTATAATAGGTTCAGAATATAACTCATTATCATAGTTAATTTAAAGAAGAAACTAAAGACTACTTTAAACCATTTAGAACTTTTCAAATATAAGGTTTAAAAATAATGTATTTATGTTTTACACAAAGTGTTTAAAACTATGTTTAAAAGAAAAATCTATTTAAAATGTTCTATAAGACCAACATAAATTTTGAAATTTTTTGTGTTTTAAACACACATTCATGTTTTAAAACGTAACAAATCTGTTTTAATAAACGTAACTTTACGTTATAAATAATATTGTGTTTAATGATATTAATTGTTAATTTATATCACATTAATTTTAATTATACTTTAACAAAAAATGTTTTTAAACATATTCCATTTCTAAATTTAATATTCATATGATATTAATAAAAAAGTTGAGTTTCATGAATCTTTTTTTCTATATAATAGCCTGATAACATATATCAATCAGTATAGAAAATTATTTTAATTATTATGTAAACTTCATAGTAATAAAAAATACTACTGAATCATTTTTAAAAAATATTTATTATAACTTAAAAAAATTGAAGGTTATGGTAAACACATGCAGAAACTGTACGAGTAAAAGCATACTAGAGGGCATATTGTTCAAAGAATGGACTGACACAAACAGTAGTGTTATGTGCAATGGGCGATGTCCGTTGTTACCAGTGCTAGAGCCCTCTTAAAGTTTGTACATCTACATATACTCACAAAGCGTTTGTATGTGTACATAAAACAAGAGGTAAAATATAATATCAAAGACTTCTAAAGAAAATCAAGTTAGTTTTGATAAAAAAAACGTTTTGATATTATTCACTTTGCTGTCATTAGCAATGCGTGAATATTAAAACAGCATATTTTATCATATTTTTGAAATTATTATTTTATAAGTCGTTTGTAAAATTTTCTTCGTTATTAAATACTTATACAAGAATTAATATTATCCTAGTTTATGTTAATCGTATAGTTATTGTTTGGTTTTATTTATAAGAAATATAGAGTACCTGAACAAATATTTGACTTGAGGCATTTTATTTTTGTAATATGTACAGTTCAATCTAAACTAAACGAACTTTGCTTTATCAATATTATTCATATCAAAACCTTTTAAATACATTTTTTTTACCAAATAATTAGAATTAGTCCACTATACTTTATTGATTATAATAAAAATTAATAAAATAATCTTATAATTTTGATCACGATTAAGATAATATTATATTAAATAGTGGTTGAAACTTTAGTAATATAAAAATTTAAATAAGATTGAGTTAAAATAAAACATTTTTACAATAGTTGTAAAAGTATTTTGTAATAATTATTAATACTGTAGTTTTGGTAAAACTAATTAACGTACGTTTTGTAACACTGAATACTTTATCATACAATTTCTGACAAGTTACGTACTAAAATGATAACATGTTTACATTTGAATGTTATCAGTTTAGAAAATTGCTTTGAATAAACAAAACGAGGTAAAAACATTTTTGTTTCTTGTATAATTTTGCGTATTATTACAGTTTAATTAACTTTTAATTATAAAAAAAATTTAGATCTATGTTATAATAATATCAATTAAATTAGTTTTTTTAGATAAATTAATAAAAAAAAGATTATTTAATATTCTACGTGATTTAGAATAACACATACCAGCAAAATGAAGGTAAAGATTTATTAAACTTTTATAATGTATTTAAATTTTTGTAATAATAGTGAAATTTAATTATACTTAAGTTTTGATTGAGATTAAGTTTTCTTATATTATAGTATTAATTTGTAAATTTGAAAACATGTTTTCCTAATATTAACACCTGCAAAATACTTTTTAAATAATCATATCTTTATTTTTATTTAATAATAGTTTTGATTTCATTTTTTAAGCTATCAATTGTAACTTTGTTTATGTATGTAAAATATATTATTTTGAATTAAGAATGTCTTCTTAATTATGCTATTTTACACATTTTATTTTTACCGTTTTAAGTTTTATGAATAAGTAAGAAAAAAAAAATTGTCCATATTACAAATAAACTATCTAGACAAAATGTTATCAAGAATTCATGATGACCTTCTTTGTTCATGACTTTCAAATCTGAGGCTTTTAACTAACATCACACCCTACATAAATGTATTTATAGTCTACCATTAACAACTGGCCTTTAAGAATTAGACATTATTTCCTTGTAAATCATAAATAAATATAGTTAAAACAATTACTTTAAAATATTAAAGGTTTACAATAATATCTTTCAGAAATTTTCTCTATAACTATTTTAAGAACTGCTATATAGAAAATGAAAATTTTTTTTTTTTTAAGTAATTTAACGTATTTGCATAAAAAGTATTGTTTATTAATTTGATCAACAGAATTTTAGAATATATTCTTTTATATATTCAATATATAAATTTATGTATATTTAATTCAGTACATCCTATCTCAATCTTATACAAGATATAATTACTTATACTTTATACAAGAGAATAAAATAATTGGTTTACCAATTAAATTGCATTATTTTGTTTTCAATTTTTGATTTAGCAATCTTTGTTGACTCTATTATAAACCTGATTCTACCAATCTATACCCCACATAATAATGAATAAAATGGTTATCCTAAATCTTAATGAGTAATATATGAGATATGTGGTGAAACTCTTAAAGTAACGATGAGATGATTTGTAATCAATGGAATACAAAATGCCAAAAAATTATTTAATTTATCAGTAATAGCTCATATAAAAAAAATTTTTAATAATGCTATCTAACAGACAATTTTAATTGTAGAATATAATTATCTGCTTTGCATTTGTTACTTATTATTGAAACTAAATATAATATAATTAATATAGTATAAATTGTTGTTTCAACTGCTTTACACATTAGTTAGAAACTAAAACTTAACTACTTAATTGTAAGTGTGTTTGTATTTTTTTATACATTTTATGTATATTTTATTTTACATATTTTAGCAAAATTAATTGAAACAAAAAATTATGATTTCATATATCTTTATTCATGTAGCATTATTTTTTAATTTGCTTTATGATTTATTAATTTATTTCTATCCACAATAAAGAATTTTCGATGAAAATTCTAAAATAATTTTGTTAATTATTTAATATTTTTTCAATCTTCATTATCTGTTGTTATACATTATTTTTTATTGTTAATCTAAAATGTACATATACCTATGGCAACAATAAAAGGTAAAAAAATTAAAATATTTTTTTTCTCTTACATTATATCTATGTTTGAATTCAATAAGAAAAATAATTTTTCAAGAGCCTATGTTAGAATTCCGATTCATAATAATGATATCTTTAGTTGTTTAAAAACTACTAAAAAATACATTCCCAAAAATTGGAATTGAATACGTCAAAAACAGGACATTTGCCTACCGCATTTTTACATTTTTTAAATATGTGTCTTAAACACACAAAGAAACATGATTGTTCAACTTTTGTTTTAAAAACTCAGAGAAAGTGATTGTTCATCGTACTGCTCTTTGTTGTTTAAATAATTATTTCTTTCTGTAAAATGTATCTTTTCGGATAGAAATTTAAGTAAATAATAATAATAAATGCATAATTTCTAACGTATTACTAGATTCAATTCAACAAACAAATGAAATAAAAGTTGTTAAATATCGTTTTGCCTAACTAATAATCTTGATTATTAATTTTAGAATCAATTGCTAGTTTCTATAAAACGCAGTACACGATTAGCCTCTGTTCGTTTGGCTTCTAGTTCAACAACTAAATTTGATTGGGAAGACGCACTAAACTTAGATAAAAGTCTTACATCGGAAGAAGTTCTACTAAAAAATACGTTTCGAGACTTTTGTCAAAAAGCTTTGTTACCTAGAATACTAAAATCTAATCGTAATGCTGTTTATGAAAGAGAAGTTCTCAAAGACATGGCTTCTATGGGAGCTCTCGGTTGTACGATTGGAGCCTATGGTTGTACCAAAGTTTCTGAAGTTGGATATGGTTTAATTGCTAGAGAAGTTGAACGTGTCGATAGTGCTTACAGGTTTGTTGTACAATCTTGAAGGATTATAAAATTTTCAATTTTTTCTTTTTTAGTCACCTTAATATTTATTATTATACGGTACTTGTTGCCGTAAGTGTAAATAAGATTAACTCAATAATCTGTAGAAGACTAAAAATAATAATATTATGTATTGCTATTTATACTTTTCTACAAATTGTTTTCTTTAATATGATAGTAATCTAGTATAGATAATAGTATCTGTAAAATTTCCTTTCCTCAATTTCAATAATTTATTGTTCAGATCGGCCTTAAGTGTCCAATCATCTTTAGTAATGCATGCAATTAACGCCTATGGTACAAATGAGCAAAAGGAACAGTATCTACCAAGGTTAGCTACCGCCGAATTAGTGGGAAGTTTTGGGCTTACTGAACCTAATGCCGGTAGTGATCCTGGAATAATGGAAACTAAAGCTATATATAAATCAGATAAAAAATCTTATGTACTCAATGGAACCAAAACTTGGATTACTAATGCGCCTATTGCCGATGTATTTATAATTTGGGCTAAGTGCGAAGACAAGCGTATTAGAGGATTTATAATTGATAGAGAAATGTCAGGAATATCAACTGCTGCAATACCTGGCAAAATGTCATTAAGAGCATCAAGTACTGGTACTATATTTATGGATAACTGCATTGTCCCTGAAAGTAATCTTTTGTCGTCTGTTGAAGGTTTAGCAGGTATTAAATGAAAGTTAAATAAATGTTTTATAGTTAAGTTTTTGTTTTAATATTTTCTAAGCTAGCCCCTTAATTCAAATATAGGCGTATTTTTTGTTGAGTAATTTGAAAACATTAATTTATTTCAATTTACACTTCCTGTCTGTATATTTTTTAGTATTATCTAATGCTGATGTAATTACAAGATATTGGTATATTTCAACTTGTATGCGAATGATTAAAAAGTGTACCAAATAATTATATTAAGTAGTAATATTCTTAATTGTTGTTTATGAATTTATAATTCTATGTGAATAGGTCCTTTTGGATGTTTAAACCACGCTCGGTATGGAATCGCTTGGGGATCACTTGGTGCAGCCGAAGCCTGTTTATCAATTAGCCGATCATATTGTTTAGATCGTATTCAGTTTGGCAAACCTCTAGCTGGCACTCAACTTATACAAAAGAAGCTCGCTGACATGGTTACAGAAATATCCATCGGGTTGGCAGCGTGTTTACAAGTTGGACGTTTAAAAGACCAAGGACTTGCATCGCCGGAGATGATATCATTGATTAAAAGGAATTCAACCGGCAAAGCTCTTGAAATCGCCCGAATGGCTAGAGATATGTTAGGTGGTAATGGTATATCTGACGAATATCATATAATTAGACATTTAGTAAATTTGGAATCTGTTATTACATACGAAGGAACTCATGACATTCACGCATTGATATTGGGCAGAGCTATCACAGGTTTACAAGCATTTAAATAAATTGAACTGTATTTTACAGTTCTTAATATATTTGTTAACTGATCAATTTTTTTAAGGATTATTTTTTTATTCTTATGTTGTTATTTTAATATAGTTACCAAATATAAATATACCATAAAAATCTTGATACTTTGATGAGGACTTAATCTTAATAAATTATTTAAAATCACCAATACGTTTTGTTTAATTCCTTTATAACTTAAAACCTTAACTTTTAGATATATCCGTGACTAATATAATTTTACAAGGCATTCTAATATTTTTTATAGTCGCTGACAACTCACGATATCCAAATTAATAATTTCCCTGCCACTAAAAAACGGTATTAAGTCGAACGGCGGTACCATATCGTGTTTGTAAAATATTTATTACAAAAAGTGTAGTAAACGGACGAGCTTCCGTTTTTACCTTTTAGTGAACGGCGAAATGAAAAGATAATAAGTTTTGTCGATCCATACATTCCAAATGAGCCTCTTCGATGTAAGGTGTTATTGATCTTTTATGTGAAGGAATACATGAATACCACTACATAATATTACCTTGTGTATTACTTATCGTTGTAAAATTAGTCTTTTGACAGTTACTTACCCACTTACACTTTTCTATTACATTAAATGATTTAGTTTAGACATACATAAGCATTTATTGTTTTGCAGAGTTATGATGAATACGATTTATTAGTGCTTAAATTAATATAAGACTTTTACATAAAATTGTCTAAATAACGAGTATTCTGAAGATATAAAAAATAGTTTATCTAAATGAAAATACATATGATATAATTTAATATATTAAATTTTTAAAAATATGTGTAATAAAGTTAGTTAATTATTTTCACACAGCATACTATGTAGTGATGGTATAGATATTATTAAGTATTTAAATTTTCATTTTAGTATATAAATTAGTTTTATTTATTATCACAGTTGGTTTATTCGTTGTCTAATATTAGACATTGAAACTAAATTTTATTTAGTTATGTATCTTCGCGTGCCAGTAGGTACCCTTACTCGTTTTGGCGTGATCAAGATTACTTTTATACATTTATGAAATGAATAATGTCAAACTAATATTAACTACCTGTCACAAGTTTTTAAAAATTATTCCAGTACGAAATTATATCTTCATGACATTCGGTTACACGATAATTTTTTCAAATAAAAGAACTTCGTATCAGTTTGACTTCATCAATAACATGAAAATGGAAAGTTTACACGATCTTAGAAGAAATACTATTTATGCAATCTATAATACAAACAGTTTATTAAAACTTTTTAATGAATTTTCTTATGATGTCTGTAATATTTTTATTTTTATTTATAATGATACATAACATTTAACTAAATAGCATCAATTTTATTGGAAATGTAATAAATGTAAAGTATAAAAACAATTATAGTATGAAACTCTTTGAATTAATTTGAACATAAGTTGTATTAATTATAATTATTTTTATAAAATAAACTCGATTAATTAATCAATGATCAACAAGATAAAACAAAACATGAACTAATATAGTTGTATGTTAGGAGTAATATTATTTTGTATACCAATATTTAAACATATAATAGCTTATTACGAACCACAGGAATAATGAGCGTTTATCAGAATTTTACTTTTGTTCAGTATCATCATCAAAACCACTATTACCGTCCAGTTTTAATTTAATGCTTTGTTTTCACGCATCCAATGAATTAATAATCACATATAAACACATACTACGTCAACGAGGTATTGTACTAGTTCTGTAAATTATCGTTCCATTATTAAAAAAAAAAATCCCCTGCTCTGTTACTTTATTACGCTTTTTATTATTAAAGTTGTATAATTAACAAAAAATACTCTAACTGGAGAATGTGTAAAATATGTTAAATAATTTACAGTAAAAATAACAAATATAATTGTTTCACATTTTTTAATAGAAACGTATTGACTTTATACTAGAGATGTAAAATTCTTTACTTTAAATTGTAAAAATTATACAAGATAAATCTTGTTCCTTTTACTTTGTTTTACTGAAATTTTAGAAATTAGACTTAAATACTTTAAAATAAAGAGTCGATTTGACTGATGCGTTTTAGAAATATTGGCTTTAATATATCAATGTATATATTTTTTTCAAATAAATTTTTTTTTATTTTTGGTCTTCCTAACTCGGTTGGTAAAGCGTCGTGTTTGGTACAAAGGTATCGTAGTTCGATTCCGCTGCGTAGTGTTTTTTAGGTTTTCCTGTCCTTTCTGTCACGAGCAATAGGTTTTAGAGCGGATGTCAAACATAAACATAAATATAAATAAATAAAAATTTCTTAGTATTTAAAACGAAATTATTTTTTATTCTCGTAAGCTAATGAAATGAAATTTTTTTATAAAATACATTATACTTTATTTTCAACTTGGTTTAAAACCTAGCAATGAGTGCTTTAAAAATAAACACTTAATACTTAAAAAAAAATGAAACCTTTAAAGTAAAATCTAATTTTCTATCTTACGTAACAAATACTATATATTTATATAATGTTCATTTATTTTTTCATTACTTTTTCTGATAATTTATAAATTTTTATATAAAATTAAAATAGTTTTTCCTATAAGTAAAATATCTATTGCAATGATTTATATGAAAATTGAAGAAAGTATATTACGTTACTATAGTTACGAGAAAGAAATTATATTTTATGAACTGAAATATATTTTGATTAACAGCTTTTGAGTAAAAAATTTAAGTATAAAAAAAGTTTGAAAATAATCTTTATCTATAATACTCACCCACTAAACGACCATATCGTTGAAACATTTTTTCCACGTCCGTTTTACTACATTGGAATGTGTTTAGATTTCCCACAAAAACCCGCGAATTCACAGCCTGGGGATCTTGAGAGTTAGTCTGGTTTCCCACTTTGCTCATCTTCATATCTGAAATATTTGAAAATATTTCTATATAAAGAAAAAAATTGTGTTGAGTTATTTTGAGTCATAATATAAAATGATTAATTTATTATTGACAACTAAATTGGTTCTAAAATAATAATTTTGAGAATTTTTTGGTTTTATTTAGTATTATTTATTTTTTGATTTATATATGATTAATTTGTTTTTAATGATTAAATTAAATCCTTTATTGTCTATACCAACTTAATGTTTTTAAGTGATAATATATCTATATATTTGAATGGATAAAATTTTAAAAAATGATCAAACTAAGAAAATAATTGGTCGATAACAAATTTTGAATCGGAATTTAGAAGTAATTATTAATAATTTTATGTATAAGCAGGAGGAGGAGTGAGGCTGAGAAATGTCTTGTGTTAAAAATAGCAGACTCGCGCCTTACTTTCAGTTAATACTTTAAATTGTTAACAATTTCTAAAATACAAGTTTAAAAGTTGTTATTTTAATATGATTAAACTAAGAAAATTACTCGAAGATAACAAATTTTGAATCAGTATATCAATAGTTAAACCAGTTTTAAATGTAGATTGGAAGTATTATGTTATTTTTATCATTGCTCTTTCGCTTTTTCCTACAACCCAGGTATAAATATGTCTATAACTCCTAAAATACTGGTTCAAAAGTTGTTATTTCTTAATTAGATTATGATTTCCTAGTATTTAAACTAGTAAAATATGTATGTTTCCATTAAAAATAGTTAATTTGGTACCCTTATAAGGCATAAGGGATAGATCTAAAAAAAATTTGATTATATATAAATGAATAATACTAAACAAAACCAAAAAAAAAACTCTCAAAATTATTATCCTAGAAAAATAGTATCAACAATTAATCAATCATTTAAGATATTAAATATATATACTAATTCTTGGTGACATTTTCATTTTTGAAATAGCCGTTTCTCTTTTAAAAATATATATAAATTTAAATAAGGCATTCTATTGAACTTTGATAATTTTATGGGTAAACTTTTCATCATACTGGACCATTCTATATACGATCATACTGTAATTACTTTTATGAATAAATATTTGATGATTTACAAAAGTCTGTAAACAGTTTTCATAGAAATACTCAGAGTTTCTTTTGTTCGATTTATATTTATCTTTGTAAACCTTTTACTTTGACGTTATTTTTATTGACAAACACTCTTTTTATTTAAAAAAAGTCACTTCAACTACTAACACTTGACGAGTCGAAAATAAAAAAGTATTTTGCGTATACTAATCTAATGATAGCTAGAAGATTAACTATATATAAGTAAATGTGGATTTTCGAGAAATTTCGTAAATAAATAACTTTATAATGAGAGTTATTTGTATTTCTATATACAAACCATATGATTTGCCAAAATAACTAAAACTAATACGTTTTTCAAATTATACGTTTAATGATTTTTTGTTAGTTTTACTATGATTGCTTTTCAGCAGTTATTTTACTTTTTTCTTTATTTCATTTTTAGATGTTAATTATATGTACATATATTTATTAGATAAATCATAAGAGTTTTATAAGTTATAAAATGAACGTGTATGTTGTGTTTGCACAATGTTATAAATTATAATATTCTGCAAACACAATTTACACATTAATTTTTTATTTACAATGGATAATTATATTATTGATAGTTGGAAATATTTAGCATGTCAGGTCAAGTGAAGAAATATTTAATCTTTTGGGATAAGAACTCTAAGCTAATAAGTACCCTTCAGCATTAGCAATAATCACAAAGACTTAATCCAGTGAAAGAAGGTTCGGCTGTATATCCGATTAACGCCTGTTGTCTCTTTCTTAAGTGTATCAAAACAAACTTGACCATTAGGATGATGTAAAGAGCTATTCGACTTCAAAACTACACCTTGATCACTTTGCTGTCCGTTGTCACATCAAACATTGATCGTTTCACGCTATGGTCAATGTTATCTCAAAACATTTCTATAAAGCGCGGATATGTCCTTTCTCGTTTCATATAAATAATGCAATAATGTCCATATTATTTGATGTTCGACACAGAGAACCAACTCAAACGATCACGAAAACCACTTACATTCGAGTTTTCCAATTTCAACACGTTCATCACCACCTCTAAAATGTTTTCCGCAGTCAGTAATGTGCGTATAAAAAACCCTGTCTTCTTTAATTTCAAATGAGAATTACCCCAGGGAAAAACATCCGTGTCAAAAGTATAAGATTAATAATAGTGTACATAAATTCAACAGGATCTAATAAAAAGGACCGGGAAAGATTAGTAAATACGTCCAAAAATATTTAACACAAGGAAAGTATACATTTTATTTCATTAAAATGTTGAGAAAAACGTTTATTGAGAATTATAATTCATTTTATGTTTTAAATCATTCAAAATAACTAATTTATACTTAATTGCATGTGTTATTAGATGAGTGTAATGTACTTTCCTTAAATTTAAGTAAGTAATAGTAAGTATACTATTCTATACTAACACCGCTTGATAAAATTCAACTTTTTATTTGTATATTTTAAACAGTTTTTAAAATATTTGCCGATTACAGTTTGATAAACGTGACTCATATTTAAAACAATCTTGAAGAAATCGAACACCGTTTGTCATTTAACTTTACGGCTGGTCTTTTCTGTTGAGGGTTACATGTCAATATGTCATTTTCAGAGGGAACAACAATACTCGTATAGAAACCATATAGACCACGCCGAAATTGATGATTTCATGAGCGAAAGGCTAAATCGTGACATAGTGAAACCTTATATAAAAATAACCTCCTGTTATTTAGCGGCTATTGATAATACAAGTAATGTGATATACACTCGTTAAAATGCATATCACTGTAAAAAACTTACAATACACTTGGCTATGTATAAAAAGTGTAGGTGTTGAAATATGTACCGATGACAGATGTTAAAGTTCGTAGGAAAACACAAAAAAAATAATAAACAAAATCAGGTTAAGAATAATCGATATTAAATTTGTTCTAAATTTAAATGTTATGTAGGTATTAAAATTAACGTCAGTCATTTAGTGTATAGATTGGTCTACGATTTATGAGTTGATTTTTTAATAATTACACATGTAACAGAGCATACATTCTGTTTTTATGTACAAAATATCGATTTAAAAATAAAAATAACGTTTGGGAATCAAAATTTTAACAAAATTACATTAGAATTATAGCATTTAATAGATTGCTAATCGTTTAATTGTTTACTACCTGGAAGAATTATGTTAAAATTATGACCCAAAATATAGTTTTGCAAATTTTAGATTTACAATATTATTAAGTACATATTAGAATGTTATGGTGATTAATTCATTTTAACTTATAACTGTTAACGACTCCGTTGTATGTGAAATATTATTATTTTTCTCTTCTGTTTAGTAAAAAAGTAAAGAAGATAACGATAGAGGTTTCCCCCCTCCCGTGAGCTTTTATATAATGCGCCCTAAGGCTCGTTAGGAATGTCCCCGTCGACCACCGCCCGATGAACATCTTGGAACGCGGCACGAGCAAACAGCATTCCGTTTAAATTAAAACCCTCTTTTGCTTCCGTCTTTTTCTCATCCCCAAGTCTGCACTCGTCGCCACAGATACGCTCATCTAAGTCGAATACAAAGGCGCAACAACGGCACCTGAAAACGCAATTTATATCGTTGCAATTCGACCTCAATTTGCCGGCAATCTCCGTTGGCCAAACACTTTAGCTTCTAACAATTACTGTACTCAAATATGTTCAAAAGCCACGTGTCGCTTCACGGTACGGCCGATTCCAAAAATGTAACACCAGATCGCTCGGCCAGCATTTTCAACCGCAGTGCGGATACATTTAAAATATCTGTCTGTTTTTCCTTTCTATGTAAAGTTTTAAGTTAAATACGCAGGTCGGGCGAATTGAATGCGCGTTTTTCATCAGTTGTAAAATCAGTATTAGTCTTCAAGAATTAAATTATTAGACAATTTCTTAAAGTTATGCTATACAATATAAAGAACATTTTAATAAAAAAAAAAGTTCGTTAGCTAACAATAAGCGAAACCATAGTGTTGATAAAGAGTGCACATAATAATTCTGCCGGTCTGCGTTTATATGTAGCTTATGTCTACCTCATTAATAAATAAATCTAAAAAAACATATTGCACATAATTCATAATTAATTTCAATTGAGTATTTACACTTGAAGTGTATACGAATTTTATCAGTATGAATCAATAAAATAGGAAGCATGTTTACCGACACATTATTCGACAGTTATTCTTACTACGCATAATATGCTAANTATACGAATTTTATCAGTATGAATCAATAAAATAGGAAGCATGTTTACCGACACATTATTCGACAGTTATTCTTACTACGCATTCTTACTATGCATTGTATGAATAACTGTGCATTGCATATGCAAAAATAAACAAAAAAATATATTATAAGACTTGGATAGCAAGAAACTCTTTTTAAAATAAAAAATCAATTTTTTTTTACATCATTAGTAAACTATCAAAATATTTAATTCAATTATTTATTTATTTTATTGTAATTTATATAATAAATAAATAAGAAGTCTAACAATAAATTTGATTAAGGTAAAGTATTTAACTTTCTTTTTTTCAGTGTATTAGCATTTTAAAAAATTGTTTTTTACTCGAGGGTACTAGTTTGTCAACTAAACTTTAAAAAAATAAAGAGATGCGAAAAAAGTCCTATCTGTTGTGAAAATTGATTATTTTATTTTTTAATCTCTTCCGCCCTTTTAAATCGAAAACGGTAATGGGAAGTTGAAATCGTGTTACACTTTTTTGAGATCATCATTTCTTCATATTCAACGAGCTAAATTGAATTTGCCAAGAATCAAGCGATGCTGAAATTATTACAGTTTTATTTGGTATGATATAATAACAAGAGAAAGTAAATGTGAATTATTTTAAATAGCCTTTGGATGTCATAGACAGCGTTTTACTTTGCTTTCGCGCTTTTCAACAATATTGCGGTAAACGTATCACTTTTTTGTTGTTTTAATACTGTTTTATGCGTGTGTTTGATTAGAGAAAATCAGACTTTGTTTGTGACTTCCTGGCGCCCGACGTTCAAACAGGAACATCGTCAAATTGTTATTTTATCATAAAATTAATACTGTTCCCCTTCATAGTGTAGCGTTCTTCGACATTTTAATTATACGACTCATACGCCATTATCCTAAGCAGATAACTTAAAAAAATCATTAACCCCTGAAGACACGAACGTTTGCTGTATGGCTTTAGCCATTCAATATAGTAACCCTTATGTGCTTTTACCGACCCTCGATGACCAATGATAACATAATATTTCACTGCATTTTATATAACGTCACGTCAACAGTTACCGGTTACGCAATATCGTTACGCTAGTTAATTGTTTTTTGAATACTATTTTCCTTTTTCGACTTATTCAAGTAAGTTTATTTAATTATGTATGCAAATTGAAAAATAATTAAATACAAAATAAATCGCTTACTACGTGGTATTTTCTCAACTTTACCTAATATTTCTATACTTTCATTATACTTGATTGCTGATTTCTAATTGAAAATCCGTTATTACCAACCATTGTGAGGTTGTATGGTTTTGAAAATCATTTTTTCATAAAAGAATGTTTTTATCGTATCAATTTAAATTTAATAGTAAATCTAATAGGGAAAGGTTCATAACGTGAGGTATCCGTAGGACGCAGTGAAATCTTAGTCCGGTCTTACATGTGGAACGGTCTAACAAAGGAGATCGTTCCTTGTAACCAGCAAATAAGTTAAAAATATTTATATAGCGTAGATAGAAAACACATTTAAGAAAACTTCAAATATTAAAGATTAAATGAAACGAACATTTTGTTTTAGAAATGTTTTAATTCACTGTCATTATCAGTAGTCTAGAATTTAGGAAATTGGAAACTACAAAGCGTTGTTGCTTATATCTCTCTAATGGCCGAAGGTAAAATATCTTATTTCTTTGAAATCGCAATTATATACGCTATGCATAATTTGTCGACATGACATTTTTCTTCCTCTTTCACTTGCTCTGTGCCTATCTCTCTTTATCTTTCAACTCCTATAGCTTGTCAAAATTTAATTATACTCCCATTTAATTAATAGCCGTCGATTCCTTTGAGTCGACAGGAACCTTCAAAAGAAACGCCCTACGGATAATTTGATTAAAGAGAAATGATAACAATAATAAAGAGCCCGTCTTCCAATACTTGACACCAATGTGAAATCGTTAATTGGTAGAAACCTCTCTTAATAAGGGCGGCACGCGTCTTGTCGGTTCGTTTGTCTCCGTAATTCAAACAACTCGAACCGCAGAAATATTTTCCTGTGAAGAAACGACGCTCCTTAACGCGTTAAACGTTTGTATTATTTTTGATAAGGGTTTGCCTTCTATTTCGCCGAGATCCTGTGCAGCAAAGGATTATAATTAGCGACGAAAGGTTTAATTAGTGTTCTCACGTTTGGTTTAATTTGGGTCAAAACCTTTTTACACCATTAATAATAATATTATTATTATTACTATAATACGGCTACTACTAACAAACACTATCACTACCTACTGACATTTTAGTGGCCTTTTACATGTCGAAAATGTCATGAAAGAACGTACGTTTACCCCTATATCTAAATGCACCTCACTTATATTATTTAGTTAAAGGTTATAAGATTTTGTGTTCTACATATTCATGCAACACCGTCGGAATGTGTTAAAATGTTCAACGTTTGAAATCCGAGTTAAATAGTCCACTTATTTTAATTTTATGAATTATTGATTCAAGTTTTGTTTTTTATTAGTTCTTAGGTATTTTGTTTTTATAATAGTAAATGTACTGACTGCATTTTTTAACATTATTTTATTTAATAATAATGAGTAAAGTGAAAAAGGTTTAGTGGAATTTGCATTGCGCTTACGTTTTTTAAATGAATCAAAGTAATTAATTTAGTAGAACTTTTTAATTTTCTGAAATATATGTTGTCGTTTACAGATTTATTTAGTTAAGATAAATATCCCTGAATAATAAAATATTTATTTAATTTTTATTTATGTAGTAGATATGGCTATATAAAACGAATCATCATAGCTTCTATCCCAACTATTTAATTTTGTACCGGCTGACACAAGCTCATTATGAATAAAAAACTAGTATGGAAGCAAAGTATGAGAAGTTGTAAAAGTTCCTGTATGGTCACCCATCCGGAAAATAACAGCAAACAGCACAGATGAACATCAGCACTAAAGCGACGGCTGAATTATTCACTGTGCAATCAGTTGCAACTGTGATCCTATAAATTAATCGTATGGTCAGAAATGCAGGAAAGTACTATAATAAGAGGTCACTTTTTATGTTTTAACTTTCTGACATATTTTTGAAATTTAACAAAAACATTTTCTGAACTGTAAATATTAAGTAAATAATCATATTTTGGGTAATGCTAAAAAGTTTGTCCATAATTCCTGTTATCTTTTTGGTTTTTGCTTCCTATTGCTCGGTTTCTCTTTAAGTATTCGTCTCCGATCGACGCTTTATAGTTTCTGTTTTATGTAATTACTCTGGCAATTAACTGGAAAGTCTTATCTGTTTTAAATTGTTCCACAGTGGTTTGGAAAAAGTAAATTATTAACTGCTTCCAACTTGGACGTTGTAATACTGGTATATTATCTGATAATCTTATCGAGTTATATAAAAACATTTTATTTTATTTTTAGAAATATAAACTGACGTTTTTGCCCACATCCTCAAGGAAAATACATTTAAGAATTTATACTGTTTATGGCACATGTCAGATTCGCGATCTTTCGCATAAGTGATCGGTGATTTTTTTGTTTTAACAAATATATAAAAAAAACTGACTTTTGCAAATATATAGAAGAATGTCAAATGTCATCGGCTCCATT